GTTAAGTTAGGGGGAAAGCAACATTCACTTTTTTCGACTGTAGTTACCATGTTGTTATTTACGTGACAATGCTGTTATTTACGTTACCAATATATGCTAGCGTTTGCCCAGAGTGCAGTTGCAGATACATTTAAACTGTAATCAATACTACATTCCACGGTTCTTACCGCTCCCCGCCAAGTACAAATATATGAAGTATAGTAAAATCTGTATTCACAACAGAAAAGACTACATTGTGTAGTTATCTTTCCTAAAAATCAATTACTACTAGTATGAGAATATTTGATGATAAATAAGTAAAAACGAACACCACTGTAAGATGATGCCCCCTGGGAGGTTCGTCTGGGGCTTCTTGTTGATAAAAATACTTTTGTGCTTTGTTACAATAAACAATACATGTTCAGACCGTTATCAGTGTGTAAACTGGTGTTTTTAAATCACTCTCTTGAAAGTGACATGATAAAGATAAATATTCGATATTTCACAAATTAAAACAGCTGGCACTTTGAAAAAGTAGCCTAATATAGTCAACAGTATAGGGAATAAGTTAAAGCCACTTGGCAAGTCCTAGCGACAACTTAATTTTTTATCACTTTCTAACCCCAATTGCACACGTTAACTAAGAATGGGTGACCTGTTTCATGTGTATTAATTTTTATTTCCATTCTTGTTCCAGTGGACTGTGGCCGGCCGCAGAACATATCAGCGGGTGCGCATGTCTGCCAAGGCACGAACTTCACACAAACGTGCAACGTGACCTGTGACGTAGGCCATGTACCCTTGACGTCAGACGGCCTGCTCTGTACTTCCAGTCGCAAGTGGATGCGCATGCCCGAAGGAACGAACATTACAGAGCTGAAGTACAACGAACAAAGTATGACTTTTCTCTCAAACTTTTCGTTTACTTGCATCTAAGTTTGTCACCTCGAGATACTAGATTTTCAGTGAAAAATTCGTCAGTTCAACATTATCTTAGTTATTTTTTTTGTCACATGTTGTTTGCATGTAACATCTGTGTCCATAATATCACCAGGGTCCATACTATCGCCACCTTGAGAAATAGTGTGCTTTAAGATATTTTTACTTCAACATACTTTTGGTATGTACTCCTGCACACCTCAAATGTACATACCTAGGGTATGTTGCAGTAAAAATATCTTTAAACACACTTTTTCTCAAGGTGGCGATATTATGGACTATGGTGATATTATGGACACAGATGTTATGTAACTTAACGTGTACCTTCTATCTTACACTCAGATGAGTCGGAGGTGCTGGCATGTGAGAGGGTGGCCTGTGGCAACATAACGGTTAGTGGCAGACTTTTTTTCTTCGAGCCAATGAGAACAATGAATTGATATAAGTTATTATTTACTGTCAAATTTTATACAGGAGTTACACATCCGTACATAAAATAAATGTAGACTTTGAACGTTAATGATTAAGTAAGTGTAAATCATACTTTTAGAATTACAATAATTAAGACGATGTTCTGCCCATCGCATGTAATAGGACTATTACTATACTGATTCAGATGCGGTATGATGAAAATACACTTTCTTTGGCCGATAAACCAAGCTGACAGTTCTAAAATAGGTCTGTTTTCTTTGTAGGTCCCAGCACAGGGAGAAGTGACGTGTTCTGGGACGCGGTACAACGACACGTGCTACCTGTCCTGCGCGGAGGGATACATCCCCACAGCCGGCACACAGTTTGCGTGTGATGCGGCCGGGAACTGGACAGCAATCCCAGAATGTACACCGGGTAAGACACATAGAATGCATCCGCAAAACCAAAAGTGTCAAGTGAAAAGTGCTAAGGTTTAATTGAAGCAATATTCTTCTGAAGTTATAAGAATGACAGCCTCTAGAACAGCTTGCACTGTACATGTTATCATTTTTGCTTACAATACGGTTCTATCATCTGTCTAAGTTTCTATCTCACAGTTTATATACTACAGTAATGTTTTAAAATGTCAAAATCATTACTTAGAATTGATTGTTCTTTTGACAATGCATTTGTTCTCTACCAGTGGAGTGTGGCGACCCTCCCTCCTTCCCAAACACGGAGTTCGAATGTTCGACGGGTACGTCATTTCCGGGCAGCTGTACGGCTTCCTGCGGGACCGGATACAGGAACACGAACTACACACACGTCACGTGCGGTAGTCATGGCAACTGGACTCTGGGCAACGATACAGGTAGGAAGTTTACACAAATACAGAATTTATATATAGTTATAGGCTTAAGCCTCTGCTCAGTAAACGTGTTTTGTTGATATTTCAAGACACATGGAAAGTTCACTATTCACACTGCGCAGTCATTGGTACATCCTTTATGAGTTATGGGGCAGTGCCGGAGTCGCGCGGCGAGGCCGAGTCCCACTATATGAAATATAGGATAACGGGGTGGGTGGGGGGCAGCGAAAAACTTTCCCAAACAAGAAGGGCTAAACCCTTCCCCACCCACTCCCTGGGACTGACCTAACACCACGCTCCTTCGGCGTTGCGGATGCTTCCAATGATCGCAATGGTGATTAGCCTGGCTGGCATTCATATTTAAAGGGGTAATGACGTCATGCAGGATTTAACCAATCACAGCGCAGTGTAATAGTTCACTATTCACACTGCGCAGTCATTGGTACATCCTTTATGAGTTATGGGGCAGTGCCTGCGTCGCGACGTCCCAGCCTGGTTACCCTTACTATAAGTCTTAATATAGTACTAGTAACTTTCCCTTCTCTTCACTTCTCTTCTCTTCTCTTCTTATAACCATCCCCATACTCATCCCCATACTCATCCCATTCTTATCCCATTCTCATCCAATTCTCATCCCAATCTTATCTATACCTCCCAAAGCCTAGACTTACATCTCTTCTTCTCGGAAGAGCATACCCAACTGAGCTGGCTTTATCTAATAATTTATCTTTACAGCCACCCCTACACGAATTTTTTATGCAAACAAATTGCATTTACAACACAAGTTACAGTGTACAACTGTAAAGTGTCTTTCATTTAAACTCGTGTTGGCCTAATCCTCCGGAATCCTATTTTGTAACATGAAACCGGTATTAGACCCCGGAGCTCGTTATTTTCCCCATCCACTGCTACCCACACTCCCCTGACTAATGTGAATCGAGCTTCTGGCTTAGGGTGGGTTTGACTCTTATCTCTCTCTGAATAAATCCCTAGTAGAGCAAAATTCAAAAATCACCGGAAGTCCACTAGCCAGTTGGATTAGTCCAACTCTAATCTCATCTCTTCCTCGTTAACCTCTCAATTGTCAACGAGGTAAAATCTCATCGCCTCGAATTCCTGTACAGAGGCAAACCCAACCTTCCGATGAGTAGATCTGTTTCATTAAACGGGTGTTCATCGACAATCATAAAGTGCGAAACACAACAGGTAGCCTAACCACCACTGAGTGCCCAAACTTAGAAGGAGACCAAAAGGGCACCCATACGACAACTCGACACTCACTACCTGTGACGCAACACATGTACCAACACCCGCCATGTGTGCATCCGTCTATCTGCGACCGAACACCCACGTGTGGAACGTCCCAAGGAGACAGTCACGCGACAACTTAGACAATCACTTAACCGTGATGCCACGAGTGCCTGCACGCGGAATGTGCTAAGAAACACAATAAAACCACCTACGATCACTTTACATGCGTTGCATAAGACATCAGCGCTCGCCCTATTTGGATCCGTCCGACTGTCTGCCACTCACATGACAAAATATCGACGATCACTTAACATGGGACGCAACAAAAAACATCAGCGCTCGTCTGTACGTGGAAAGTACCACCAAGACACTCACATGACAATACCGACGATCACCTTACATGCGACGCAAGAAAACATGAGAGCTCGCCATGTCTAGATCCGCCCGACTGTCTGCCACTGAGAACCTACACGTAGACTGCGCATACTAGACACTCACATGACAACATCGACGATTACGTACTTTACATGCGACGGAACAACACATCAGTGCTCGCCATGTTTGGATCCGTCCGACTCCATGTCACTGAGCGTCTGCACATGCAATTTGCATAAGAGACACTCACATGACAACATCGACGATCAAATTTACCCGCGACGCAACAACACATCAGCGCTCGCCATGTTAAGATCCGTTCGACTGCTTGCCACTGAGTGTCTGCACATGCAACTTGCATAAGAGACACTCACATGACAACATCGACGATCAATTTACACGCGACGCAACAACACATCAGCGCTCGCCATGTTAAGATCCGTCCGACTGCTTGCCACTGAGTGTCTGCACGTGGAAGGTGCATAAGAGACACTCACATGACAACATCGACGATCAATTTACACGCGACGCAACAACACATCAGCGCTCGCCATGTTAAGATCCGTCCGACTGCTTGCCACTGAGTGTCTGCACGTGGAATGTGCATAAGAGACACTCACATGACAACATCGACGATCAATTTACATGCGACGCAACAACAAATTAGCGCTCGCCATGTTTGGATCCGTCCGACTGCTTGCCACTGAGTGTCTGCACGTGGAATGTGCATAAGAGACACTCACATGACAACATCGACGATCAATTTACATGCGACGCAACAACAAATTAGCGCTCGCCATGTTTGGATCCGTCCGACTGCTTGCCACTGAGTGTCTGCACGTGGAATGTGCATAAGAGACACTCACATGACAACATCGACGATCAATTTACATGCGACGCAACAACAAATTAGCGCTCGCCATGTTTGGATCCGTCCGACTGCTTGCCACTGAGTGTCTGCACGTGGAATGTGCATAAGAGACACTCACATGACAACATCGACGATCAATTTACATGCGACGCAACAACAAATTAGCGCTCGCCATGTTTGGATCCGTCCGACTGCTTGCCACTGAGTGTCTGCACGTGGAATGTGCATAAGAGACACTCACATGACAACATCGACGATCAATTTACATGCGACGCAACAACAAATTAGCGCTCGCCATGTTTGGATCCGTCCGACTGCTTGCCACTGAGTGTCTGCACGTGGAATGTGCATAAGAGACACTCACATGACAACATCGACGATCAATTTACATGCGACGCAACAACAAATTAGCGCTCGCCATGTTTGGATCCGTCCGACTGCTTGCCACTGAGTGTCTGCACGTGGAATGTGCATAAGAGACACTCACATGACAACATCGACGATCAAATTAGACCCGTCCGACTGCTTGCCATTGAGTGTCTGCACGTGGAATGTGCATAAGAGACACTCACATGACAACATCGACGATCAAATTAGATCCGCCCGACTGCTTGCCATTGAGTGCCTGCACGTGGAATGTGCATAAGAGACACTCACATGACAACATCGACGATCAATTTACATGCGACGCATCAAAAACAAAGATGTGTTTCCACCTACCCTGGAAATGTTGCGCCGTAAACACTGCTGGTGTTGGTCCTGCTGGAGTAGGACCTGCTGGAGTGAGAGGTTTCCCTGGTGTTGGTCCTTGCTAAAGAGTCAACTGTCGCCGTTGTCCTGGGTGCTGCACTGCTGGCGCGGGTAGTCTTGGAGTCTACGACATCGCCCGAGAAATGTTGTGCTGTATAAAACCCCACTGGTGTTGGTCCTGCTGGAGTAGGGCCTGCTGGAGTGACGGGTCTCCCTGGTGTTGGTCCTTGCTGAAGATGGCTCGGGGTATCTTGTAGTCTGTGACCATCACCTTTAAAACACAAACACATACACGTCACGCAGAGATACCAACTATATTTTAACTACCCACTCGAATGTGCCAACACCATGAGGGCATCACCACTCCATGATCTAAGGGTACAAAGTACCGAAGGCTTTAGCACTCGAGTTTCCAACCCTCCTGACAAACAAAGAAACGATTATCTGCCAAAGTCACCACCCAGAACCAATTTATTCAAATGCAAATGTACCACATGCAACACGCTCCCGCCAAAATGACAAAACGATTTACCAAAACTCTGGAAAACTGAAAATCAAAACAACGGAAACGACACCAAAAACCGTTCCGTAACCCAATGGAGTGGCCAAGAAACCTCCAGACTGTTGGACTCGTTAGGGATGTCACCGTAGCCCGGGCCGAAGATCACGGCTGCAAAAATGTGGTAGGTTGTGGGATCTGCTGCTTGCCTTCCCACATCTTGACCGCTTGGGAAACGAGGTTGTTGTGCTGCTATAACTGCAAGGGCAAACGACATTGCTTATCAACCTGCAATTTCTTAACCCCGTGAAAACCTTTCACACTACTACCACACTACCCGCCCGAGCGCGCCTCCACCGCGAGGGCAACCCGCAACACGATCTTAATGGGCACGAAGCCGAAGGAACACCGCTCGGGAAACCTCCCCTGCTAATTTTACAAAATGGCTAAAACCACCCTCGAAAACTCAGAAATGAAACCCTGAAAAGAACAAACTACTAATAATCAATTCTGGCTCAAACAGACACCCACGCATTCAAATGCAAATGACCCAGGTGCGAGACTGCCGCCAACATTCTTACAGACAATCCACACAAAAACTGTCGGAAAAGAAAAGCAAACCACGTCCTGTACTTCACACTACCCAAACCTTCTCTTTCAGGAACAGGCCTCTGCTTCTCTAACGTCAGCGACCAAAACCAGTCCGCCTGTACCGGGTAGGAGGTGTTTCCGAGGTGCGTCCGCTGGTCCTGCTGAAGTTACAGCTGTCGCCATTGTCCTGGATTCTACACAGCTGGTGCGGGAAGTCTACGAATCTGCGACGTTATCTTAAAAACAGAAACACGTACACGTCAAAGAGACACCACATATCTCTTTTTCTACCCACTTAAAAGTTCAAGAGTGCAGCAAAGAACAAACAACATTCATCTGCCAAGCTCACTACCCAAAACCACCAGTTAGTAACGAATGCAATACCACCTGCAACGCATTCCCTCCAAAAACGAAATGTTACCAACTCGGGAAAACAAACAAAAACTCGTGGACACAAAACGACAGCAAAAACCGTTCTGCACGCCTCCAAACCGAAGGAGTCGTCGTGGAAGCCTCCAAACTGCTGGACTCGCCAGGAAGACACCGACACCCAAACCGAAGACCAGTGCTGCAAAACGTGGGAGGGCTGGGAGGGCACGCCCGGCACTAGCACGTCGCTCCAAGCTGGCGTAGGCTTCCAATGATCGCAATGGTGATTAGCCTGGCTGGCATTCATATTTAAAGGGGTAATGACGTCATGCAGGATTTAACCAATCACAGCGCAGTGTAAATAGTGGTATAATTTAAACCACCATAATTTGTAAAGAAGAAGTGCATTACTTGTTATAATGGATTTTGTAATATGGATATCAGTATACGATTACTAAACCCTTTGTTTTTCTTTTCAATAACAGAAATATTGTTGGAGAGGTTAGCGGATGACTTTTTCTGTGAGAGAAAGGACTGTGGCGTACTACAAGTGAGTTCATTGTATTGCTACTAACATCTGTGGCTTAATTAAAATTTACCAGTGATATTATTTAGATACAAACACTCATGTACTATGTGAACAATCTACTTTATTCATTCATAATGTTCACGTGTGTTGAATAAACAGGAACCCACTCACGGCTCTCTCGCGTGCACGGGAACGAGATTCGAGGACACCTGTAAGCTGACTTGTGACACTGGGTACGAGGTGACAGAGGATGACGGGATATCTCTGTTCGATGAGGAAGGCTACACGTGTACAGAAAGTGGCACTTGGAGCAGTCAACCTACGTAAGTCATGATACAAATTACTATTCTTGTCCCCATAGACAAATACATACCAACCATCAAAGTTTTTCGATTGTTTTTGCTCGAATCTGCACTTAAACTTTTAGTAGTATACTTGATAACAGTTACTCATATTAAAAAACGAAAAGCCAATTGACATACAGGACATGCGGCACAAAACGTCAATAACGTTGTTGATACAAACATAGCTTAAAACTTATCAGGCTTTAACTGTAACAAGGCTGAGGCAATAAAAACCATTGCCAAGGCGACGACTGAATGATATATATTATTTCATATGGTGGAGCTAGCAATCTACATTACAATTATCAGAAAAACATATTTCCCTATGTTATTAAGACATGCACGTAGTGAAATTTACAGGCTGGGTGGAGGAGGTGTGGGGCAATATACCAAATACACATATAAGGGGAATCAGCCGTTCTTCCCCAGCAATATAGATTTTATGATGACATACTTACTTACTTTACTTTGGTCGAGTTCCCGCTAGAACCAAACTGAAAACCATCCTCTACTTCACTCTATCCTCCACCAGAGACTGGATTTTATGCCTGGTCTGAAGTTGTTACTCCTTTGACTTTTTTTTTTACCTTTTGTGGGTTCCAAAAGGACGGATAATTTCTTTTCTCTCTGTGACCTGTTTGAATATGGTCTTTGGCCAAAGACAGCTGTGCTCTCTGTCCATCGTGTGGGGAGAAGACTGATGACCAGTAATTGATCATGCCAGGCATCTGGATGGGTGGCACGTGGGCACCCCGTGTAAGTTACCTGCTTGATCCAAAAACCACATGGTGGAAGGTTTCCTCCAAACCAATTCCCTGGGGAACGCATTCATGCAATTTTTGAAATTCTTTCAAAGCGATCGTAGTACTTACACAAATGCCTCCGCCCCAAAGGCGTCGCCAAAAAACGGAAGTCATCTTTTAATCTATAACGTTACCTGTGAATATTATTGCACCTGAGTTGAAATACTAGTAGCAAAACAAACTCTACTGGCTGAAATAAAAGTATGTTCTGTGTTTTTTTCACCTCTAGTTGCGGCGAGTCCGATTTCTGCCTCCATGGTCACGACGACTGTGATCTTCAGTACGGGGTGTGCGAACATACGGGACATCGGAACTTCAGCTGCCGGTGTGCGCAAGGCACTCTGGGTGACGGGAGAAGCTGTGCCCTGCCTGTCTGCGGTATTCTAAATGTAGGTATCGTATGTCATAAAGTCCTTTACATCTCTCTCTCTCTCTTTCTCTCTCTTTCTCTCTCTCTTTCCCTCTCTCAGCCCATCTATTAGATAAGAATTCAATCTGTTTAAAGACTTACTATATCTATAGTATCTATCTATCTGGTTAAAGTATCTTTCAGTTTTTATACTTTGTTATGTATACATAAAGTTACCTGTTTGTCCAACGTCAGACGTTTCAGACAGCATCCGTAATCTTTTATCAGTGACTAAAGAACAAGGAGGGTTCGATCAGATTGAAACCTGCTTGCTGAGAATGACACGTCTTGATTCTTGTATCAGTCTGACTATTGTATCAGAATGTATCCAGTTGCTTGAATCATTATGTAAACTACGTATCCATCGATCTATCCACACATAAGATCTGATTTGATGTTTTCTTATTTCCCAGGCCACAGAACCAGACCATGGGAAGCTGTTCTGTGAGTCACAGTCCAGTTTGGGGATGGGATCCGCCGACTGCCGGGACCCTTCTCCCTCCGGGGTGGACAACCAAGAGTACGCGTCGGTCTGCAGACTCATCTGCAACCCTGGATACAAACAGGTACGTCATAGCCTCACCGGGGTGCGGCAAACTGTTCTCTCCCTGCATACCAAATCCCCTAGCTGCTATCTCTCTTATTTGACCGATTTCTACTCTTTCCAGTCGCCTCCCGAAGCCTGGTAGTGGCTAGGTACGGCATCGCATCCAGAACTGTGCCTGTCTAGTTCTGTGCCTGAATTGGTCTAGCCTTATAAGATCAGGTACTGTTCTGGATAGCCTCCCCATGTCGAAGTATTATAAAGATTTGCCTCAGGAACGAGTGAAATTTATAGAACTGTTCTGGACGACGAACAGTTCTGAATACATCACGGCGTGAGTTTTTACTCTCTCTAGGCAAAGGCTTGTTACTTCAGGGACGGAAGTATTGTTTTGGGTGGCGCTAATTAATGTTAGGTTTGTATGTTTGGGTTCCAAAGCAAAAAAAGGTGAACCCCGGGCACAAACAGATACGGCATGTCTACTTAATGTCAAAGCAGAAGCTGGTTACTTCCAGGGGCTTTGGGTGCCCTATGTTTTTTGGTCGGTTGGGTTTCAAAGTGAATGGGTGGAGACTGTGTTTCTCCCGAATATGAACTATCTTGATTGGGTATAATATTGATTGGATTTTGTATCGAGGTATTGACGACAGTCTCTCTATCTCCACAGACGCTCGATGTGTCTTACATGTGTCTAAAGAACGGAACCTGGCACGCCCCACTGGACCTGGAGAACGAGAACATCCAGCCATGTGTCGGTAAGACACATTCTTACCTCTTTTTCTCACAAAAATAGTTTTTGCAATAATTGTTGGAAAATAACTTACTTTTCTCTCAGCGTGTTCGTCAATGTGAGTGAAATTCTGTTTGTCAACCAATACAAAATCAGTTTTGGAAGGATTCAAGGTGACTAGTGGAAAAATTAATGTATTATAAAAGAATCACCACCTAGGACCCTGGACCTAGTTTTTCACTTGCAAGTACACCCTAATACTGCTATGGTTCCTTGACACGTTCTTTTCGTTCCTTGCAGACATTGATGAATGTTTGAGCACTCCCTGTAAGAATAACGCCACATGTAGCAACCTGGAGAACGCCTACAGCTGCGCATGCGTACCAGGATTTACCGGAACCGACTGTGATGAAGGTACGGACACCTTGTTAAAATTTTGAAGGAAAAAAAACAACTTATGAACAAATATGAAACACACAAAATAATGTATTTTTAGCTTTGTATGATTGGCTACCAGATTACTTGCATGGCTCATTTGGACATTGTCATTGTATTGCTTGTGTATTTGTTTAATGAAATTGTGTGATAATTGGACCAAAATCGCCCATGCCCAATATAATGACAATATCGAATCGGATATAATTGTGATGTCTTCTGATATGTTAATCCTGCAGTTTTACATTTTTTTCTATCAACCATTTCGTAAAATGTGCCAAAATAAGATATGATTTTAAAGTGGTCTCTACAAGTTTTTGAGAATTTTTTTTGCGATTTGACATTTTTTCTCAATAGAGATAAACGAGTGCGACAGCGACCCCTGTCGGAACGGAGGGTCCTGCAGCGATGGCGTCGACGACTACACCTGCTCCTGTCTTCCGGGTTGGACGGGAGAAATCTGCGAAACTGGTAAAGAGTCGACCACATATTTATAGCTACAAAACGTTTACACTCTTAAATGCATCTGCCTTTCGTACTTCTACTTTGAATTTGCTGGCGGCACTAGGTTGGCATACCTCCAAATTACATCTAATAACCCCTTCTGAATAACTCATAATGTCTGCGTAGCTTTAGCTGTCATTTTGTTGAAATAATCGCCCAGATTTAGATCCTTTGTTAATGTGGGCAGGAAAATATGGAGACTGGCACTATTCGAGCTCGTGTCCATGTACAGTTGTGACCTTATTACTTTCGGGGCAGGAGTATTGTTTTGGGTGGCTAAACATAAATGATGACAGGCTTAAGGACACATTTTGCGTTCTTAACCACACAGATATCGACGAGTGCAGCAGCAGCCCCTGCCAACATGGCGGCACATGTGAAGATCACGTGAACGGCTACACCTGCCACTGTGCTGAAGGGTGGGAGGGGGAGGACTGCGAAATCAGTGAGTTGAAGACTAGTCTCAATGACTTTTGATGAGTCTTCACATGTGTTGTCAATTTTTACAAAAATACACCATCAGTACATGTGTACTTTATAAGACGTTGATCATAATCGGTAAAGTTCAAGCTTGTCTCTGTAGGTTTCATTTATTCAAATAAGTAATCATGATTTGTTCTTTATCTGATTTGTCTGTCATATTTGCGATCATAAAAAAAACTAAGTGCCTGTTCGTATATACTGTACAGTCATGGAAGTATTGTTTCTGACTTGTCTCTGTGTACTCGTGTGAAAACGAGGTGAAGTCACTGAGCATTCGGCTCAGAACCAAAAGGTCCCGGGTTCGAACCCTGCTTTGTCACCAACCTTGTGCCCTTGGGAAAGACACTTTACACGTCTTTTGTCACGTAACTCAGGTGAAAATGAGTGTGCCTGAATGATCATTATCATGATCGTGGGCATTAAAAAGAAAAAAAGAAATAGAAAAACATCCCTGATTGAATTATTTATCTTTCTACTCCAAACAGATATCGACGACTGCGCAGGGGTGACATGTCAACATGGCGGGCGGTGTGTTGATCACGTGAGCGGATACAGCTGTAACTGTACAGGAGGGTGGATTGGGGAACACTGCGACACACGTGAGTGACAAAATTGTATTAGATCTTTTAAACTACTCCCAAGGTTTTAAAATGTGAGCCATGACTTGATATGTACTCTTTGGCGTTGAATTTTTTTCATCATTGTTACCGAAAATTCGTTTCCTAATTTTCACAACGGCAAAATCATATTCGGTCTTCTTTACCAAGAAAGTCTAGTATTCTTTTTAACACTACCTCACTGACTCCACTGAGCCTCATGTAGTCCATTTAGGTGAATACGGTTGTCGATTTAACACCTGTTACCTCCCTCCTCAACACTAGGTGCTTCCAGCTGTGCAGTCCTGAAGGATGCTGGGTACACCTACTCCGGAAGTTACGTCATCGACCCTGACGGACCGGAAGCCGGAGTTGAGCCCTTCCCTGTACTGTGCGACCTTGACAATGGTAGGCAAATTTCACAACATAAATTTCTACAAGAAGGCGAATTCTTATATTATTATTAAAGAAAGATAACAGGTCTAGGACTACGTCCAATAACCAGTAAGACCATTACACGCTATTTAGGCTTTGGACCTATTTTTTGTTCTAGAAGATAAGCGGAAAGTATATATCATTTATCAATTTTATAAAGGTTGACCCTTTGGTGGTTATGAGAAGCGACATTTGTGATGTTTTGAGAAGAGGAAGAGTAAAAATTAAGACTCTTTCTATCATATAGCAGCCACCAAACAGATATAGCTCAGAGGCTACGGTGGATTGACGCACACTGAACCACGGCTAGAACATTGTCAAAACGTTGTCCTATCACACAAGCATTTGGTGTTGCTTCTGCCAAGAACTACATATTTGCCTCTAAGAACCATATCATTTTTTTCTAAGGCACCACGTTGGTCGGCCATGACAGTGAGGCCCGTACCAGAGTAAGCCCCGGGTGTGAGGCGGCGGGGTGTTACAGCAGGGAGGTGAAGTACCTTGCTACACCGGACCAGCTCAGCGCTCTAGTCGCCGTGTCTAACTCATGCAGGCAGTTCTTTAAGGTGACACAGTTTTCTTTTTCCTTACAACTGGTCGGTCAAAGTGTTAGAGTTGGCTCAATAAATTTGCATGTTTCGTTACGGTTTAGTCACTGCAATGCCATGGTTGAGTAACTGTAATTACCTTCACAAATGCACGATTCTACCTGAAAGTTAACGTTAACGTTTAAAAGACCAAAATGGCGGACAAGTCATAGTCACGTGAGTGCAAATCCACCAGAATTTGGACATCTTACATTTTGCCTTCTCTCCTGTTATTAGATGACCATTATCCGAATTCTTCATTTAGAACAATATTTTTCCGAAGCCCCTTTTTGTGTCCCTTTATTTAGAATTAAAACATTTCTCCCCACTTCTATTTAGAACGTTCTCCTTTCGAACCCACAATAACCAAATTCGTCATTTAGAACATTCCTTTTTTTTAATCCCATTTTTCTGCAGTACGAGTGCCACAACTCCATCCTGAACATCGCGTGGTGGCGCTCCCCCGGCGGACAGAGACAGGTTCACTGGGCAGGCGCGGGCTCTGGCAGACACACGTGCTCGTGCGGGGAATCAGGTGAGGCGGAGATATATAATGTTGATGATACTAGACGTCACAAAATGCAGATATACATGCCACGGCTAGTTGGTGGAGTAGGTAGATGCAAAACATCAGTAATTCAACCAAAAAGTCTGAATTGATAAGTGAAAGTTTTGTCAGCAGTATAGATTCTGTGAAATAAAGTAAAGCAGCATGCCCCCATAACTTTACATTACTTAAAGACTTGATAGAGTAACATTTTCCAATTCCAAATACTTCGTCTTCGATGGTTTTCTAAATCAAAGGGTCCTATATGTATAGTGCAGGATATTGGTTGCATTGTATTTTCTGACCTGAAAGTTTTTTTTACTATATAAGATGCAGCTAAGAATACACTATGCATATGTGGAAACGGTAGGGGTAGTTACTCATTCGTTTTCTTTTTCTGACCTAAAATTAGGAACGTGTGCAGACGACAACCCGGCCTGTAACTGTGACAACAACGACAACGTTTGGCGGGAAGACTCCGGCTGGCTCACGGACAAGAACACCCTTCCCGTCATGCAACTCAACTTCGGCGACACGGGGGACCCCGGGGAAATTGCGTTTCACACCCTGGGGAGGTTCACGTGCGAAGGGATGAAGCAATAATCATCTTAGAGTACTGGTATTTATTAACGAAGACATATGTGGCATTACCCAACAACTTAAGGGCATGATATCCTCTTTCCAAGTATCAAACGTGTTTACGATATTTGTTGCCTATAGGTGATTTTCAAGCTGTTTTGTGCAGAAAAAATGATAAAGTTTTTGACAGCTCTAATTATCAAAGAACATGAATGACTGTGTGTGATCTAAAGGACAGTATGAGTACGCAAGGATTCAGCGCAAATGTCTTGATATTGTGTTTTATTTACATACTCAGTGTCGTTTATATCTTTGAATTATTTGCATGTACATACATATTGTATTACCTATAATCTATGTGTTGCAAGCTTGGGGTTTCTATTGAATACAAGCGTTAGGAACTATTTGATATGTAAGATACAATGTAAATATTACGTATAATACTTTGATATCATGGTTGGTAACATTGTCCTTATACCGTTTATAGATTTGGAGAAAAACAAGGAAACTACGTACAACCTTGTAGGTTACTAGTAATGTGTCATGTATGTGGAGCATGTGACATATGTTTAGTATGCAAAGCAACGTGCAAGGCTTGTTTTGGATCGATAGTCAATAGGTATCAGTTACATTTCATACATTTTATATGATTTTGATATCACGTGTAATATTCCACATTACTCGTTAAAAAAATCATGCTTTGCTGGTTTTGGTTTGGGTTGAGTTAAATGTATTTCTGTATTAAAATTTGTTATGATGTGACGATAAGGTACGTCATCATAACAATGGGCTTAAGTGTAAAGTGTCAAGTTGACATTAAACGTTGCAATAAAATGTACATCAATTTACATTGTTTTGTCTAATGTTTGTACACTAGAGGAGCAGATGGAGAGCACGAGGGGATGTAGCTCAGTGGTAGAGCGCACGCTTTGCATGTGTGAGGCCCCGGGTTCGATCCCCGGCATCTCCAGAACTATCATTTTGATTTTCCATTAAATTAAAGCACTGTAATGACATAATAAAAAAGGTGCAACTTTTTTCTTCTACAGTTTCAACTAGAGCTAAGAAAACAACAACAAATTGGGCTTGACAAAAGTCGAAAAATTTTGCCGTGTCGAGCAAGTTTTCACTAATGGGCATAACCTTAAACTTTTCAAGTCAAAGGCAAACAAACATCTGTCCTCACTGTCTAGTACAGTAACCCAAAACATTTGAGTGGCTCTTACGAGCCTTGTTTTGTGGTGAATATGAATAAAAACAAATCGTAGAATTTAGTTGGGCTCTTCTGGTTCTTCCTTTTCTTTCGAATTCCCTCCGTCCAGAGTACCGTGACTTCCCTCCTTGTCCAAACTGTTAACGGACTTCCTGGGACTTTTCTTGGTCCACATCCATTTCCACGACTCCTATGGAAGGAAAATGACCTGTTATTTCTTTATACAGATAAGATCCAGCCAAGATGACCATGAAAAATGCCCCCCCCCTACACACACACGCGCGAAGGGGATTAAGTCTCATAATCGCTGATGTCACACTAGGATTTGTACCTATTTATCTTATCAAGTTATGATAATCCAGGCAATTAACCGTAGAGTCATAGAGGTCACACATATCCCCAATGTGTTAGATGTATTCTAATATTTACAATACTATACAGCGTGGTGAACAAGTCAGGAATTGCTGGTGTCGTACACAACACACTGTACAACACATTCTAAAACACGAAGAGCAAATGACAGGCAAATTTTCTTTAATGATTGTCCACTAGACAAGCCGTCTTGCGAAGGGGGTGTAGCTCAGTGGTAGAGCGCACGCTTTGCATGTGTGAGGCCCCGGGTTCGATCCCCGGCATCTCCAAATTTTATCATTTTCTTTTTCCCTTTAATTAAGACACTGTAGAATATGATAAATTTCGACGCGATTGTTGTTGGTGGCGTCGAATGCCTGAGTATTAGGATACGTAGTGGACCGACACATCACGGGTTTGATTCCTGGCGTTGTGTCCTTGGGAAAGGCATTTAACGCGACCTCCCTTACTAAAATTACTTCGGTTGCTGAGTTACTTGGTGTCGTCTTGGATACTGCCTTTCTAATTTGATAACTGTCACCAAAAGATCTGCTTGGAGATTAGTGACATGAGATATCTCTACAGGTATGTAGAACAATAAGCCACATTGTAGCGTACCTGTCAGATACAGGTGTTCACTGTAAGAACAAAAGACTACTTGTCATACCTGAGGGCGTCTCGTCTATTATAAGCTCTTATCTGATTAATCTTCTGTACTTTTTTTTAGTAATTATAGTCATTACACACTTTCTGCCCAAGGAAGTCTGGAGACCTTACTCTCACTAGCCGAGCCGAGCATAATTTATGCTGAAGAAAATGTGAAAACTAGGTTGTAATACAAAAAGTCAAACCCCGTTTTGTCATTTTTCCAGTCTCGAAAAAAATCTGCAATTTAACGAACAACTTTTCCTCCTAAATCCTAGCGGTCCGGGAGAAAACCGCAGTTAAGGATCTCTCGTGTTTTAAAACCAGAAACATACGCACGCTGTTTAAACTTTCTCTCTTCCCTGCATTGTTCATTTTTAATCAAGGGCAGTTATTGTAACTAGAAAAGTTATATTTAACTTCCACTATGTTTTAAATAAAGTTTAAAAGGAAAAGCGATTTCTGTACAGTAGAGAGAACTTACCGGCGGTTTCCAACAGGGCTCTTTATACTCCCCTGGGTACGAGTGAAGCGACCACAGCCTCTTGTACTCATGGTACCTTGGGGTCGAGAGTAAACGTGGGATGTTACGACTATGTCAAGATCTTTGTTACATTTAACACTACTTACGGAATATTCATATATCTGGCGCAAATCATATTTGAGTCAAACCGTACACTACTAGACTAAGAGTTCTCACGGCAAAAGGCCATCATGCCAACTACAATATTATAACAATATAATCCGTAACGTGTTTTAATAAATCTTGGATCATAAAACACATTTGATCTTACCTTTACGCTATCACAAGGATAAGCGAGGAGACGCGCCGGATTCGCTCACTAGACTATAATGCTAGTGTTAGCTTGTCAATTTTTTTATATATCTGTAGACTAACATTTTAACCAAATGGTCATAACAATCAAGCTTAAATGTCTTCATCCAATTCAATAACACATTGTCAAAAAAGGAGAGCAACGTTTTGACCACAGGTTCTCAACGTTAACTATTTCTCACCTTGCGACGATGTCTGTTTTCTTGGGTGACCCTGGCGTCTCCATGGTTACCTGTCCGACACAAATGCGAGTTGTTTTTTTCGCTTCTGCTACCAAACCAAGACGATAGCGATGACGACAACGTTTAATAAAAGTGTTGAGACCATGGAAAAGTCTTCTTCTGAAATCTTGGGGGTTCCCTTCGCAAGAAACACAAACTAACAACTCCGTGTTCACTACCTGTCAACTTGTCGAGATACCCAACAGACCGTTCACAGATTGTCTATCTCTCAACTGCCTCAAAATGTCCGTATTCTGGACAATAGTGATGTTTTCTACGCAATGTAGAACGTTGGACCACAGAAGAACAGACTTGCCTTGTGTGACAGTGTTTCTCCAGTCCACACGACCGTCCCCACTCATTTACTCCAATCCCTTCATTTGTACATTGTCATGGGATCTGGCTGACTAAGACCGGTTCACAGTGTATTACTTGTACAGGCGGCGATTAAACGCTCTAGTTGTCTTTTGTCCAGAACGGCTCCGTGATTATAGTTATCATAGTGAAAAGGCTGATGTCTTATCAGCCGGGACGACTGTGCCGAGGAACTGTCAGTCAAATACGTCGCCTGGCAACCGATGACCTTTTAGGAAGGTTTGAGCATTCTGTTCTTATTCAGTCAAGACGAATGTGCTGAGTATCTGTCAATCAAATCAGTCGCCTAGCAACCGATGACTGTTTAGGAAGTGACAGGATACGAATTGCAAGAATTATAGATCAGAAATTATTATAAGATGGACTATTTTGTTCTAACAGTCATTCCAATCGATTTTTTGAATTGAATTTTTTTTTTAATCAGCTTCTGTCTACGTAATCGATGTATTTTAATCCAGCACTTATCCTAAATCCTGATGGTTCTCTCTACATGAGGACTTCCAACAATATTTGGAATATTATGATATGATTTTATCGCATACAAAAACGTCCTGACATTATGCTAATAGCCTATTATCAGCGATCTGGTGAGCGACAGTAGAGTAGACAACCGGCGCCGACACTGCCAATTAAATAATCTGACGTTATCAGAAAAGAGCGATCGTACATACATGTAGGACTTTATCCTTATAATGAGACACGCGTTATCTGTCATCAGATGACTATGTAGAGGAACAGGAAAGTTAATCCTGCAACATCAGTTGCTATTGACAGAATATTTAACAGGCTAGGACGTCATAGAGATGTACTGTTTATGTTAGATATGAGTGTCTGGCGGTAGGCGTGGCGGCCGACATTAAGTTTCCATTCTTTCGTGTATCAGACACACATGCACACACACACACACACACACACACACACACACACACACACACACACACACACACACACACACACACACACACACACACACACACACACAAATACACACACACACACACGCACACACACACACGCACACACACACACACAAATACACACACACACGCACGCACACACACACATCACACACACACACACACACACACACGCACACGCACACACATACACACACACACACACATATACACACACACACACGCACACACACACGCACACACGCACGCACACACACGCACACACACATGCACACACACACACGCACACGGGTATTCACACATACACATGAAACAGTAAAGCAGTAGTTGATCATCAATAATCATACGTCCACACGATGTTAATGACGACAATAGATATTTTATTGCGAAACCTTCGGCACAGTTTGATTTTTGGACGATACCATTTTACCAGTTCTTACAGGTACGAAAAAAGTTACAAACTTAGTCTCACCTTCCGATGACAACTTTATACAATAGATACTCTGTACACCTGTAGTATATAACCATAAAGATATATACTATATACACAAAGATATTTGTACATTTCTACTTATTTCATATCAAGATTTCTGCACATTCAATTTCGTACAACGATGACCACAAAGCGATGATATACGTAGCGAGCAGTACATGCGCATGTCGTTGGCTTGACGCGATCGTAGGTTACATGCAGCAAATCGGTAAACTGTTGTAATTTCTTCGGTCGTGATTAAGTTACATGGCATGGCATAAGTCCTGAAAACACTTCGCCCAAAAGAGACAAAAACTGGCTGCTGTTTTCACAGTTAAATTGATTCAGCATGGGGTCTCAGGCACTTTCAAAAATGAAGTAACTGATAAGAGAGTATGTAGTTCTAGCCTGGTTTCCACCCTATTCTATTTCAGATTAATTTTACTTCTTATGGGATTCGAATATTTTCTTCAGAAGCAGTGGAACAGCTCGAACTTTCGAATGTCTGTTCGAATCCCGTTGCCACGGGTTACCATGCCGTTTTGAGGACCACGTGACTCCGAGCCAATCAGAGCGCCTATATTTAAGAAACAGAATTAACTGGGATGATAGACAAGCTTTATGCTTGTATCGTGCCTCAAGATGTCAGAGCAGAAGGATTGAAATGTCTTATTGCGAACAGGTCAAGGGCAAGGATGCAGCGATGTTTGACCTTGAATCTTACATACATCTTCGTACACCAAGTACAAAATATTGACATATACAACGGCTCGATTATATCTGTTTCTTATACAAAACATTCATATAAACCTTTCATTATTGAGTACCAATACGTCTCCTATACATTAGTAGATATCCTCTTTCGATACCATATACACATATCAAAAGTATTGAAAACATAGTAACAGTGAATGTCACTCAGAAGGGACATCTGGACATAGCAGCACGAACGTACATTGATAAATATTCCCTTCTTAAAGATCATTGTGTTAGAGGAAACGATACCGTATACTACATACATAAACTTCTTCGTTCCAGGGATCACCATATATTATTCATTTCAAGTAAAATCATGATTATAGGGGGAAATCCAATAGACGAGTTTACGCTTTGGCGGACTACCAAAATACTGCTTGTGTCATAGGGTTGTTATCATTTCATCCAAGATTCGAACGGAGTCTAAGAACGGAATTTGCGTTCACGTGCACACATTCGAGCGTATCGAACGCGTTCGAATCAGCTCCTGTGACGAAAGCAGTTTAGGTAGTCCAAAGAAGTGTGAACCGGTCTATTCTGATAGATTGAGTATGAGTACGTAATACTAGTTGCACTGTTGAACATGTGTATGTTCCCTTGTACTAGTTAACAATAGTCGCATGCACTACCATTTCCCTCTGGGACTACCACATATTTTTCCAAATCTTTATGAATGTCTCCTTTACATATTCGTTACATTTTTTTTTCGTAAACTTGAAGAAATTTACAATTAGTGATATTTTAGGTCCCAATGTTGGGACGGATATACCAATTTGTTTATCACGACCAAGTAAAAGTACAGGAATTTCACAGACACGAGAAAGAACAAAGTTAAACCCCTCCAAATTCCAGTACCATGGTTCATATGTTTCAACATGTGACGCTACGTTCAGTAAACTTTATACGATTGCTCTCAAGCAAGGCATTTGAAACTTTATCTAAATCGCACAAAACTTCTAACGCCAAATATACCACATTGCACAAACATGATACTTTCCACAGGAAACATGAATTCGTCAAGTCTGCACTGCAGTAAAGGTATTAAATATGTGAAAACGTCTTAAGTACAAAAACACCGAATACAAAATTACTTCGGTTAGAAAAAAGAAATTCTCAACTTCGCAAACAGCATAAAACCATTTCAAGTGCTAAAGTTAAACAAGACTGTCCCAAAAGTTAGATCTTGCACTAATTTGCGCTGACAACAGAGATATTTTCAAATTTTGCAACACATTACAACATAGCTCACACCTGCACTTGGCCTGAGTAAGGCTAAAGGAAGTGACGTATGATGACGCCATTTCCTGAACCGCTTCACCAATATTCACAATGGCAACTTCTCTGTCATAGTTCAAGTTCAGCACTGTGACAAGGGTAAGCGGGCCAGACAAATAATGATACCGCAGAAAAACACACACTGTTAAATATCTAGCTTTAACATATAACACAGCATCATTCTCTTTAGAAGTATAAACAAAAGAAGGCTTGTTTTGAACAAGAAAACATTATGATGAAGTCATGTTAGGGAAGCATCCCAGAACGTAAGAATTATTAAAAAAACAACATTTTCCCTAGACAGTTGAACGAAATCCTACAAATTTAATACATCCGGGCATCTCGGGGAACTCAGAGGTTACTTCAGGTCAATATCCTCCTCCTGGTCCACCGAGGAGAACCGGAAGGGGGAGGGGGGCGGACTGAAGGTCACGGAGGGGTCAGGTTCGGAGCTGCAGGACTCCAGGCGGTTGGGTCGGGAGAGGAAGCGGCCGGGGGGCGTGGGGGTGGCGGGGGAGGCTTTATCCACCGTGGGGGCTACCCCGACCCCCGGGTGGCGGTGGGGGTGGTGTTGTCCGTGGTGTTGAGCCTTCTGAGGCCCCGGGCCGTAGCTGAAGAGCTCCCGCCGGTTGCGGACCACCGTGTCGTCTATCCGCACAAGCGGGGACATCATGGTGGGCACCGGGCCGTGCTTCACGCATGCGCGGTCCGTGGCGTGGCCGACCAATGAGCTGAGAGGGATCTGGTACACGCAGTACTTGGTGACAGGTGCTGATGGGAAAAACGAGAAAATGTTTCGATTATAATTCTTAATAATATATACTTTTATTATATTTTACAAGAGTTTTGCTGTTACTTAAAAATGCAACCAGGCATGTTCCAATTCTAATAGCGTTTATATATGGTACACGCAGTACTTGGTGACAGGGGCTGATGGGAAAAAAAAAGTTTCGATTATAATTCTTATACTTTTATTATATATTACAAGAGTTATACCTTATGCTACAATTTCGCTGCTACTCAAAAAAGAAAACAAAAAAAACAAACAATGGCGTCATTAAATAAAAGACCTAGCCAAGTTATTTTCTCATCTGTGTCAAACCCTACAATGAATGTTCAAACTACCTATAGATTTACATCTATTCTGTTATGTAATTGCACTTTTAGCTGTATTTAGTATTTTAGCTGTATTTAGTATTTACGTGTCATAAGTATGCAATTATTCTATGGGCATTAATGTGCAAACAAATAGTACAAAATATCTACACTTCTACTTTCTACCTTGCAAATACCTTGCAACTTTAATGGAAGAACTTATAAAAAGGGAATAAATTTTAAAGTATTTTCTGGTGTTTTCTTTACCTTTCCCCCAGGGGAGGTCCACCTTACCGGTGGTGGGGGTGGTAGGCGGTGAGAAGCTGATGGTGGGACTGGTGCTGCCGTTATTGTTGTCCTTACAGCTGGAGATGGGGTCCTTAGCAGACACGAAGTACAGGTCAAACTGGTGGGGGGAGCAATGGGTTTGCGTTAGTGTTGCGTATTAGTACCCAGTACAGGCCCGCTGGTACTGCAGAAATACTTTAGGTACATTGTACAGATCAAAAATACCATAACATCAGTTTTAGTTTTTACCGGTGTTTTGACAAGAGAAGTGTTGCATCTAATTATAGTTTTTACATAGTTTTAACTGATAAAACGCTTTAAAAGAATTACGATTCAATTGAAAAACCAATTCCCTTGGGGACCTATTCCTGGAATTTTAGAATCTCTTTCAACTCAACCTCAGTAATATACTAACGGCTCTGGCCCTGTGGCGTCGCCAAAAACCCTAGCCCCTACCTTTGAGGTGACGAGTAGAAGCATGGGCATGGGCATGCTGTGGACCAGGTTCCCGTTCACCAGCAGCCGGATCTCTATGGCGTCTGGCGTGAAGGCCAGGATGTAGGGGAAGGCACACACTGGGGGAGAATAGAACAATAAGAACATTAGAACAGAACATAAGAATATTAGGACACAAGAACATTAGAGAACTAGAACATTAGAACACAAGAACAGAACATTAGAACACAAGAATATTAGAACACAAGAACATTAGACTACAAGAACATTAGATTCGAATACAAGAATATTAGAACACAAGAACATTAGAATACAAGAACATTAGAGCACAAAAACATTAGAAGACAACGACATTACAAAATTAGCCCCCCCCTAAAAAAAAACTCTGCCCGGGTGATTCTGGAAAAGTACATAAGATTCTCACCAACTCCGTGAGGCTCGCTATTCCATCCGAACTCGAAGCCATTGGTCGTACCGGTGGTCTCCTCCGCGTCAGACAGGGACTTCAGCTGGCACACGTCTGAGAGAGAAGAGGAAACATACCACCGTTGTTGAAAGGTATATCGTGGAACAATAGGCCATATAGGCCGTATACAGACTCGGGGAATTTCTACATTATGATAGAAGTTATGTAGCACAAAGACAGGCACATGTGATTCGTAATCTTGCCGTAAACGTTATTTAGATAGCGTATCCTAAGATGAAGTGAACTTACGGTTGTAACATAGCAGCACCTTGGGTTCTCCGTCCTCGTACACGTCTATGGCATCTGTTAATTCCACCTGTAAAATACACAGAAAGCCAATCAACACATGTCTTTCTTTTGGATCAATAGTTGCCTTTGGATAGGTAGGGTATTATCATTATCAATAAGCTTTGCGTAAGCACGGAGCTAAAGTTGTCAATCGTAAACAGAAAAAGATGAGGCAGTGGAACAATATGGTTACTCTTAATTGCTTTGCTGTAGAAAAAAATGTTAGCTGACCCTGATAAACTTGAAATTTTACTTTCAATTGACGAAATATATGACATATTTGAGAATAACACAGTGGGGAATGTCAACCGTCCACAATATAGGACGGTTCTAAGTCGGTTAACTTTCCAAATATCACAAACCCTGGTAAATTTATGATTTCATGCTAAAATCGGTGGAGCAATCTTACCTTATTGCCCTCCACCTGATGCAGTCTGTAAGTGTTCCCGTTCTTCTCGTTGACGATGTCGAACTGGTGTTTGTAGCCCACGCAGATCATGTTGTCCTGCCGCCCGCCGTCGATCAGCGTCACCACGCTCGGAACGTCGTTAATCGTCAGCTCCTGAAACAAACGTCGTCCGGTAAGATACGCCAAAAACAGTTACTCAAGCAACTGGATATGATTTTGGAAACGGTCAGACGTTTCAGGTGGCATCCACTACCTTTCGTCAGTGACACTAAGTGATATATCGTTCGGTAAGAACTAAAAATCGTATTTACCATGCCTGGGGAAAATCTACCTTCTTGGATACACGTACACTACCCAGAACCATGCCTGCGCCTAATTCCGTAACCCATATATAGGCATGGAGCTAGATTGGCACGGTTTTGGATGCAACAGTGTTTAGTGTCAGATACCGGGTTCTAGATAGTCTCCACGCATTCAATAACGCACCTTAGAAGGTTTCTAGATATATACGGATGGGCTATCTAGAACTGTGTCTGAGTATAATTCTGGACAACGCACTGTTTGAGATAAACAAGGTCTCATAGAATGGGGTCCAATGCAGTAATCGTTCTCACTCAGACCCGTGCCTGATCCTAATCCCTGCTTATGCAGGCAAAGAACTAGATAGGCACTGTTTTGGATACGATAACCATCCTCACCCTGATGTAGTTGAATCCCTCCACGGTGTCTGTGTCGGCTGACGGGTTCCACGCCGTCCAGGCCACGGAGTGTTTCCACGTCAGCAGCAGCAGCTTGTTCTTGATCGCCACCACCATGCGGAGGAAGCTGCCGCCCGGCCGGCTCAGCGCGTACAGATGGCAGCCTGGGCAGGAACAGAAGGGGCTAAAGATCAGCCACACAAGTACATTATACATTTTATTTATATTACATATTATACGTTATTATAAAGTTGAACTTGTCTAATTCTGTCGGTGAGTTTATTTCGATGCATTCAAAAGTGTCTTGACACTTGTTCTGCTGGCAAATTTTACACAATATTTTCAAATAATTTGATGTCTTAATCAGGTCATAGACCCTTGACTTTTGGCCGGCTCAGCGCGTACAGGTGGTAGCCTGGGGAGCAGGGAGTGGTTTCATGTAATCATGAAGGTTAACAATGATAAATTCGTAGACATTGAATAGCTTATGTGTTTAATATCAGGTTCTTAAGAAAATATTTCATAAACACCGTCTGTATAGAAGAAATAAGTCTAGAATTTAGAAAATAAGAAAGAAACATTCGTCTATTCTCAGTGACGGGCATAGAAAGGAAAGCAATCTTTACAGGAAGATGGTTTAAAACAGCATGCCAGATATTACAATAATTTAAAAATTATTGTAATTACAATGATTTAAAAATTACAATAGGTATTACATGTATAGAGGCAATGTTGCCTACCGTTGTTAAAGACCTAATCAATATCTCACCTTTCGTTCTCTCGAGTCTGTGGTCCTTGCAGTCTGCTTTCGTCCGCACGAGGGCCTCGTTGTACCCTCCCTCGAAGTCCGACAAACGAAAGACGTGGACTCTGCACTCTTTACCTGCCACAGAAATACGGCAATGATGAGATGGTAAGTCAACATTCTTGTTGTCATATCTTGTTATTTGTGCTACTGACACAACCAATAGAGTACAATGAACAAGTTAATTTTCAGTTAGCCTGTCATAACAATGAATGTAGCCACTACTTTGTGTAGCAGTGCTTTATGTTTTATGTATCTGTAATTAGTTCTGTACAATTTTCTAATGTTGTGAGATGGTAAGTCAATATTCTTTGTTGTCATACTACACGTAAAGAGCTTTCACTTGGTCAAAATAATTGATTCAGGCACTACTTTACTTTGTATAGCACTGTTTATGTCATATATTTCTGTACAGATTTCTAATGTTATGAGATTGACGTACCTTTCTCAGCTCTGAACAGCAGCAGTCCATGGTGTTCCACCACGCTCAGCTGTTTGATTGGCACTGACTTATCAAATAGCAATCTCGGGGTAGCCTCTTCTGTAAGAAGAAATTGGAGATTTCAGACCTGGCATTTCACATACATAGTTAGCCGGACATAGAAAAAAAGACCTTTGTTGTATTTGATGGTGACTACGTTAAGATCGTATGCTGTTTACATACGCATGCATGGTGATATCGAAATTATCATAAAAATACACATAGGCTTTTTATAGAGTTGAATGTTTACCTTGGATAAGAAAACAGCCCGCCTCTGTTGAAACAACGAGACTCTCTCCTGCAGGATGGTGAAAAATAGACATGTTATTTTGCACCCAAAATGGTCAACACACCGTTATTTAAAAATAGCATACTGGGTGTACTTTTTTTCCTGATAAAATTTCAAGCTACATATGTATTTAAGAAAAAAAACGTACATGTGATCAGTTGCGTCCATTTACTTAGTAACGGAACTTAGTAACCATGAACTGATCTATAGTGTGAACTCCAATGTCTCTCGAGACAGAAGGATGCCAACAGTAACGGAACAAGACAACACGCCCACCTACCCCATGAGTCTCCGCACAGCACCTGGTGCGGAAAGTCGTAGTGTAGGACCTGTGGTTCCCACGGCTGAAACACGAGGTAAGAACAAATGAGTTGTCACCAAATTCTTTTATGAGAGTCATTAGATGATGAAAATAAAATAAAAATACCATTACGTTTGTAGATTTGTAGATCATATTGATGCTCTTCAAGCAGAGGGTTATACTTCGGCGTATTTCAGGTGGTTTAATCAGGCTTTTTTTTCTTGTCCTGGTTATAAGTACAAAAAGAAAGTCCCCAAAGCTCGCGAAAGAAAAGCATAATCCTTGTGTTGCTAACTTGAAACTGTTTTTCCAGTTATTCGATACTGTCTTGTATCCAACAAAATATCTGCTCTAAGACTTCTTATATTGATACAAAGGCTTACCAACTACACAATACTGTACATATCAGTGTAGAACAAATTATAAATACAGGATCTAAGACACTATAGTAGGTCCAATCACAATAGTTACAAATAACGGGGTAAGGTTCTACTGATAATAAGTAGAGCCAGTACCTCTCGCTTAGACAGCAGTCCAGTAGTGGCCATACTGGTCGGGGCGTCACCCTTGACTATCGTGTTCAACTTCAGTTCCTGGGGTTGAATATATGTGAGGCACGTTACATATTGGTCAGCATGTATGCTTGCAATGCAAGCATCAAACAATTAAAACCACAAAAGGACATCCAAAGTTCACGCATAGACGCATAGACTTATCGGCAAATTTGGAGGTGTTGTGGTGCCGGTATGTATAGGTTCAAATCTCGTTTGGATGTCCCATACACACCCATATGTCTCAACATATGATTGCCTGCTATGCCACTGTCTGTCGGAAGATGGTGTGTTTCTCCTGCTATGATGATGATGATTATACGTATTCAAGGTAAGAGAGAGCCAGTGTATATTTAGCTCTATATCGCATTTAGCAACCAGCAACTTTTGTAGAGCATATACGAAACCAGAAGGTAGTGTCTTACATACTAGGGCAGAGTGTCTCTTTTTCCATCTGTTCTCACGTAATAGGATAGGGTGTATCTTTCTCACCTGTCCTACTCTAAGAAGGCAGGACCTTATGTACTCGGGCAGGGTGCCTCTTTCTCACCTGTCCTACTCTAAGAAATTCCGCTTGGCGAGCCTCCTCCTTCTTCTTGGTCTTGATGGAGGTCACAGTCTCCGGGATTACCTCAGACAGGGAGCGAAGGTTGAGCGGACTCTGGAAGATACAGACGGGTTCGACATATGAGAACACATAGTCCGGTTGCCAACCACCCGATTTTTGGAGAACCTTGCAATGCGGTCCATACAAAGTTTTTCAGTAATGGCCACCTTAATTTACATATTGTGCGAATTGCCCAAGGATGACAGAGTGGCATCATTCAGATTCTTAAAGAGCACACCTCAGAGATATAGAAACAACAAAAAAAACTTATGGACCGCAATGCACGCTATCGGTCTCTGCCACCAGACTAACACAGCGTTTCTTTGTCTGGCGTTCCAGTCATTTTGCCGCAATTGTTCTCATACATCTGATCAAAGTCCATCCATAACTTCCTATGACAAATAAGCTGGCATTTTTGGTAATGATAAGTAATAAAGTGATAAGTTGAGATGTTTTCCTAAAAGGCTTCGGGAGGCGGCTGGAAAGAGTAGAGATTTGTTACAGTTCAGGTGCGGCAAACTGCACTCTCTAGCGGACCAACTCCCTCGGCATGTTATCTCTTTTGACCAATTTTTACTCTTTCCTCTCGCCTCACGAAGCCTGGTAGAGGCTACTTTATTACCCCAGAGCAAGCACTCGCCACAGAACCAAAGTTTAGAGTTATAAAAAAACATCACGCCTTCTCCGTTGGAGATACTACAGGGCAATAACCTAGAAGGAAGCATTGCCCTGAGGATGATTGTTAGGTACCAAACGATCAACGTGCGTCATGCAAGTATCCAAGCCAGCAGGAGTCGATCAAGACTAAATTATCCATGAAAATACAAAGTGCCGGGATTCACTCCAAATCACAGGCTTCGATCGCGGTAAGTTTGGGTATTAACTTCAAAGGATACATCAAAAGACCTGGATAATCGTAGGTTTCTTTCAAGTCGCCAACCAACCTTTGATATTAAAATGGCTACTTATGAAAACGGCACGATTTTCGGAAGGACTTTGAAGTGCGTGTGTTAGACCATCTACAGTATTAAGTACCTATATCATTATAGAAGAGGATCTCACGATTTTTGGGTCAACGACACTACAAGTCAAACACCATGAACCCGGGTTGAGGTGAAAGTAGTAAGATGTAGATGAAAACATGTTACATATGTATTTCTGGCTGCTGGTCTTGGGGAAATGCCGATTAGCAGTAATGTTACACATGATATGCGGAAAACAAGTCCACTTTGACTTTCATATCTCATGAAAGTGTTCCATACACGCAATATTAGGAAAAGCAGTGGTTGCTGACTCTGCAGCAGTTTTGCCGAAACCCAAGTCATGATTTCTTCAGTGACATAGTGATATGAAAGTAGCTGTCCACAGATACTGTTGAGTGAACACTGTGCGCCAGAAAGATTTACGGATCAATGAACGCTGATCAGTGAACGCTCAAGATCTCCAAGGTTTTCCAAGGATCCTTCAAGAATGCTTGAGCGATTTTCAAGGTCTTGAAATGATGATCTTTCAATGTCAATAACTAATGACTAGCCAATTCATCACACTGAAAAGGAGTCTCTGCACCACTTCAAGACTATAGACCTCACTTCAAGATGTTTGAGTAGACGGAACTAGTACTTCTGGTCCATCTTGACAAATCACTACATCTTGGAATGGCTTTTAGGAAACTCTGGAGTGCATCCTTGGTCTCCGATTTAAGCACCATGCCGATGGTAAGTACATCCGTCTTGACCTATTTTTTTACTCACTTCTTGTTATGTAAGATTGTGCTTAACATGTAAGTGAAATGTAGTTACAGGTATGGTATCAGTTCGTCCATCTGAAGAAGAAAAAGCTTTCATTGCGAAAAGATGTACTGATTAGTGGTATGAAAAAGGACAAGAAAGGTTGGAGATAATTGCTAAGGCTGGGCGGAAGGCGCCCACTATTTTTATATAGCACCTTTTTTTATCACGGGACTTATTACACTTAAGCTTCCGCTTGTTATGTAGGTGGATATGACATGTCAGTAGTTACAGTATGGTATCAGTTCGTTTATACATCTGAAAAGGGTTGAAGAAGCTTTTTGACCGCTATTGATTAGCGAAAAGGAAGAGGAGGCGAAGGAAGGTGGGCGATAATTGCTAAGGCTAGACGGAAGGTGCCCACGGTTTAAATTACTAGTACTAGTAACTACTGAAAATGATTATCACTTCAGATATTTCGTGCACGGAAACAGCGGCGGCCTTGTAGTCGTCTAGGCGACAATTACCGGTGATAACAAAGATCCCAGCCCCCGCAACAGGATACCCGTAGGTGTTTAATAGTATTCAATATCCGCAACTATAGAGACCAGAAGACAGGAAGGATTTCCTGACTTCAAACCTACGGAAGGAGCGTAATAACCATCTTCTAAAATGATTTTGTGCAAAAAGTAGGATAATTACAGTAAGCTACATCATTCACAAGCGTGCTATTATTGTTCTATTTTCAATTTTGGTTCCCTTTGAAGCAAAAATTCAACTTGCCCGACACAGTCATACCAGTAGCTTTTCTCGCTTCCGGAATAGACACCGGTACCCAATTGTCAATATGGAGACATCTTAGAACACAAGCAGCAAGCAAACAAACAAACAAACCTTGCTGATCTCCTGCATGTACTCCTGGTGCAGATTCTTGATCAGCATATCCATCGTTCTCTGTCTCTTCTCGGCAAACGCGGGAGTGTTCAGGGCGGCTTTTTCGCCGTTAATCACTGGAACACATATACGGGCGGGTAAGTAATGCTAATTTCGCAATTCCTAACCTGGGGCTCAAAATTGAAAATCGCTTGACATGTTACTTTAACAGTGACAACTATTCTATAAGTGAATGATGGTATGCGCTTGAATGTGGTCTTTACAACACTGTGACAAGACCTACAGCTTTTTTAAAGTTACACGAAGTAAAGTCAACTGTTTCAAACACGTGGTTTGATTTTATTCATTATGCTGTAGAAAATGACTTACAGCCAGGACTACCCAACTAGACGGAAGCTATCTTAATGGTTTATCCCCGATAACTGAATACATGCGATCCTATATGAACCTTAGCAAACTTGTCAGAACTCACATTTGACAAGCAGAAACTCCCTAAACTCCTGTGAGTCCTTGAAGACCGGTGGAGAGGGCAGCGGAGGGTAAAATAAAGGCACTGATTCCTCCGAGAACACCGTTAGTCTGGAGACAAGATAAACGAAAATCATTATTGAAACATGTAAAACAAGAAATAGGAGATCTCATACCTCTGTAAAATGTTGATTAATGTGAATTTCCTGTTTTATTTCTATGCTCATTGCTATGACTATTTACATCCATTCTTTTTTCCCACTGACAGCAGCTTATGGGACCTAACTTCCTGTATCTCGTCTATTGTGGTCTGTGGTTATAGAATCCCCCACCCAAGTGCTGTCACTGAACTATATGAAAACACCATCGAATACACTCAACACAATACATGCTTTTGTAATCAAGAACTTTAAGTCTTCCTACCTGTAAGATTCGTCTCTTCTGTCGAACGTGACCAGAGCAAAAATATCTGGGCAAGACGGTTACGGAATAAATGCACATTTTTTTATTGGTATCTTCAAACTACATAAATCAACCTGTTTGTGTAACTGGCGTGATGATAATTTATTTATGGTGGTTCACACCAGATACAAAGAAATTTTCTGCACCAGTAACCCTGTCATACGAAAGGTCAAAGAAACAAAATGTATATACGAGACGGAAATTTTAAAGCTAGCAGTGGCAAGTGGGGTCGGCAGAGTGCTCAACTCGGTATCAAGAGGTCCTGGCATGCCACCGATCTTGTGTCCCTGGGAAAGGCACTTTAAACGACCTTTCCCACTTAACTCAAGTGAAAATGAGTATTGTCTGTCCTGTATTTGTTTCTATTTGTGGGACACAACACCAGCAACAGCTGCCTCTGTCCCACGTGTATTGTATCGTTACAATTTAAATGAATCAAATCAAATCAAGGATACGAGTGAAGTGTGACTTGAGCATGGAAGGTTTGAAGGACGGCGTCTCGTCCTCGTCCCCCTCCATCTCCTGGAACACGATACACACGATGTCGTTCCCGATATGTCTTTTTCTCTCCACCTGGGGAAATACAGCAATAAATAATCAGTAAACAATCAATTTACTTAACCAATCTGCAGCAGACAGTTTTATTCATTAGGTACGTATCTACAGTATCTATAAAACAGTATGAAATGGACAAATCAATAGACAAACGAAACAGATTAAAATAATCTGAGGAATGCATATGAAAAAACTGTTTCCAGCATATGAAATGCCTCAACTAATGTTTAAATACATATAACTGCAAGAGCATTTGAATCTGACATCCTCGGGCGTTACTTGGCAATTCAGCAAAACCACATTTAATTGAACATGAGGCCAAACAGAATCAATGTGTTGTAATTGTTAGAAATCTGCCCGTCATGTTTACCTGTTGTCTGTTGTCTTTGGAGTAGGGAAGTGCAGTAGAGACGTGGAACATGATCTCGTGACCCTGGTAGACTGTGTAGACAGACTTGATACCTGTCGTATTATCTGGAAAAATACGAAATGTTATTAATAGTATGCAAATACATCGTTACAATTAGCGCACAGGAAAGAGTATAGAAGTTGAACCTTCACATTACTATCAGAGGACAGACTGGCAGTTTTCAAAATGTATTTAATTGCTGAAGTAACTCTTGTGCATCTCATTGTGGATGTCTAAACTTCATCAACAACAACAACGTATACATCAGGGAATGATGATGGAAGGACTTTTAACTAACAGCTATTGAAAGTAGTAAAATTGTAAAACTTTAAGGCACTTACTTTTCGTATCAAGGCCCCCGCGGTACCTGTCCCATCCTTTTAACGTGATGTCCTCACCGAGAATTTGGACAAAGTTGTCGAAATTGTCGCTTCCACACTCTGCAAAGACAAACGAGTATTAGTATCAATTATACAACTGCACCTTTCTACACAGCTATCTTCAAAATCCAGAGTGTTAGGCTCTGTTATGTAGAATGTTATGTTGAAGGCAACAGAAATGAAACGTTACCGTTACTAAACATCTCATCGTCCGTCGTCTGCCCAGACTTGGCGTACAGAACTCCGAACTTGAAATTCACCGCGCCCTGAGGGGAGATACAGCATTAACGTCTAACCGAAAATAGCTTCAAATACCATCATAGTACACCCCATAACATTGCAATTTTCACCTTCGTTTCAGCAATGGTGCCAGGTACATTGCAATCTGTTCTACTTATTCCAACCCAAGCTAGATCGTCATGATGACTACATATAACATCGATATCAGTTCTAGACAATCGGGTAAACTAGAAGTCGAAATGATCTACGAGGTATGCCGACTCAAGTTCGATTCTACCGAGAAACTATTACGTATACGAGCACCCCCCCCCCTATGATGCCACCGTTGTAATTCATAGTACACATTACTATGACAATCCCAGTATTTTTGGACCGGTCATGAGAATCGGGGTAAAAAGTACCGTAGCCCACAAGTGAATTTTCCCTTACCTCCTGTTCTTCTAGTTGCAGCAGGTCCTGTAGAACAGCAAATAGAAAAACACCAGGGTTAAGAATACACCAACTGTAAGTCAAAGCACTACGTGATAACTATCATTAGGTCAATACGTAGTCTATTTAGTGTATGATATTTAAAATGAACATGGAAAACCATTTGACTTCGGCAAGTTAAGAGTTTAATCACATCCAACACATACGTCACCGATACGGCAACACAGTAAAAAGGACAAGTGTTCAAACGAATGAAAGAATAGAAAACAATTCATGTACGACTCTTGAGCAAAGTTGGTTATCGAATCGCATTGTATTGTGCAGCTCAGTGCTAGCGCGTTTCGTATGGATGTCACGATTTCAGCCCAGTAAAATGGATTACTTTTTCCAGACTGGCAATAACGAATGCAAGGGGGTATCCGTAACAATTGACCAAGGCCAATCAGGCAATCTCACTGAACAAAGCTTCAAAGTGCTCGCATGTTTTTGTATGGACATCACGACTCCAATCCCGTATAAAGGATCACTGTTCCAAACTGGCAATATCGAATGGAAATGAGTACCCATAACATTTGACCAAGGTCATTTATGCGATTTCATTGTATTTTGCAACATAGCACTGTTCCGAACAAGTAATTTCTAATGCACGGGAGTATTCATAACAACCCACCAAGGACAGCCTTACAATTGTATTGTACAAGGCTTCATAGACCAAACGGGGCTTGCATGGATGTCGCGACCCCATTTCAGCAAGAAAGGTTTACTGTTATGAATTGGGAATATCGAATTCAAAAGAGTATTCAAAACAAGTGGCCAAGGCCACATGTGTAATTGTATTGCATTGGACTTCAAAGAACCAGCAAGTCACGTTCAGTATAGGACTTTAGTTAAAATGAATGCGTTTTCTAAATAGCTAGTATTGAATTGATTTAACTTTACCAAGGGCACTTAAGTAATTGTGTTGTATAAGGTTTCAGTTCAGTGTCAATGGAAAAATGCAGTCAGCAAATGTTTTGACTGCATTATCGAGCAGAAGAGAGTAGATATAAAACTTGGGATTAACATTAATGGATAGCATATTTTCTATCTGAAGTTCGTCGTCTGCACGCAGAACAATTTGATTTTATTAGTTTGCAAATTAAACAAAAAAGACAGTAATGATACAAAACAAGGATAAAAACAGGTGCAGGAGGAGGGGAGAAGCATGAAATGCTTATACAAGGTCCTCCTCCTCTAAACTATCCCAAAAACAATGGTCAAGTATACAGCCCAGCACATTTCGTGCATTAGCGCAGGCCAATAGACTACAGCACCTTCAGCGCACTAAGAAGATTCATTCCCTGACACAACACTTGCAACCCGTCCAAATGGGCAATAAAACCCCAACCTGCCCATAAAAGGCAATAGTGCACATCCAAGGGGAAGGCCGATTTCTCACATCCAAGGGGAAGGCTGTATCGTTCAACATTAAAAGGGCTCGAAATTTAACGGTGTCCCGATGGCCACTGTCCACTAAAATATAGGCCAGGACAACTAAAAAGACAATTTGGGACATTTTGGGACAATAGAAAAATAATCAACATCAGTATGTCAGCCCTGCTTTTGTTTATCAGGCACACGTCCCAGATTTTAGCTCCAGAAAAGCCCCCTAAAATCCCCTGACTTCTCTCTGAGCTGGGAGTCAGAACGTAAACAAAAGAAAGTTGACTGCAAGTTGAAGTCGTACAATCCTTCCCGAAAACAGGTTGGGACAGTTCATCCTCATGATCACTTCGGGGCAATTGAAATATATTTTTGGGACAGCGCTGAGACAATAGGAAGAAAAGTTAATTTTGAGTCCTGCATTGAGCAGTAAAACCGGACAGAACGATCAATCTGTGGACTGTGGACGTAATGGGCAGCACGTTTCGACAATGGACTACCTGATCAATGCGATTGGAACACCTGATAACAACAGCACCATTCATCAGAGGAGGCAATCATTGGAATGCGCTGTCATGATCAAAGTGGCTCGTTGGTAATTGCGTCAATGTTAGTCTGTATGAATGCAGACTGAGATCTGTAAGGGCAGTTCCTCGTATCTAACATCGTTTGACGCTGACACTTTGTGATGTTGAATGACAACCGACGCGGCAGATCTGACAAAGAGCAAGTTTAAAGTCAAAACGCCCTAATAACAAATAAAATCTAAAACATGCTGATGATGCTAGTCTGTGTGAAGCTGGAGATCTATAGTAGCAGTCCCTCGTATCTAACACTGGTACTTGGTGATTTTGAATGACAACCTACACGACAGCTGAAAAATGTTTAAAATCACAACGCCAAATGCACCACAACGAACGAGCTTGGAATATGATGATTTTGTATGTCAACAGAATGATATAAACGTACCTTTTGTATTTCAGCACTTAAGATTTCTTTTGGTCCTCTCTCCATTTTATCTAAAGAGAAAGAGCTGCAAAGGCAATCATAAATACACAATCAATAAATAAAATTGTTATTAGACATACAATTCTATTGTGCAAGACAAGAGATTGATAGATTAAGTATCTAGGTCAAAGTCATAGCTACATCTTCGGATGGTTGCGACTGTTATTGGCGTTTGTACAAATGATAAATCTCAGCTCACCTAAGTATAGACTTGATGGACAATGGCTTGCTAGGGTTGTGGGGAAGGCAGAGCTTCTGGGTTCCCTGGGTGAGAGAAAAAGAGTATCCAATAAAATTGTCGCCAGTAAGTGGTAATCAGGAAGCTGGACATATAGAAATTTGTTCTGACACTCCACAGTAACAGTTTAACTCACTCCACTGTCATAAGATCTGTTGCCAAAAGGTCTGATTTTTCATGTCGTGATTGTTGCTTGATTTCATCTCATGAAACACAGCAACCAATCAGTAACGTCAAATGGTGATATTGATTTTATATTTTTTACTTATTTGTAGATGGATTTATTGATTGATTGATTGGTTTTGTATCTCTGCTGACCTTTTTTCTCCATACTGTGGCACGTTGTATGTGGTTGTTGATTAATATGAGATTATTTGTTTGTTGAATATGTTGCTTGTTTGCTGGTTCTACTGTTGTTGATGTTATGTTTCTACTGACCGTTTTTCTCCATAGAATGGCCCTGTACTGTGGCACGTTGTGGTTGTTGGCATCGGTCAGCACGACGGACAGGAAGAACGGGCTTCTGTCCTCGTCCAAACCCACGTAGTTCTGATGAACTGGGGAGGGTGGAATACAAAATAGCACAGAGTGAACTACAGATAAAGTTAAAAATTAATCTTTTGCTACAGATCTACAACAGGGTTGAAACATGCAATTAGGCTGTAGTGCATGTATTTCTTTTTTCATTCAGAGACGGGGACGCTGCAATTACGTCAATAGGTTGTAGTTGTACATCATCTGAGCACCCTTTTTTTAGACAATGAACACCTGTCCCAGTCCACTTAGGCAAATATACACGTAGATGATTAGAAAGGTAATAGTAGTATTCTTTAAGTAGTGTGATTCTGGTTCCCTTGATTCTGTGGTTTCAAAAAGGAGAAAATGTTGAGCTTTGACTCACTGACCTTTGCCCAGGAAGTACTTGAAGTACCATCTGGTCTGGCACTCTGGGTTCTCCAGGAGAGCGATGTTCGAGCTTCCGGTTCCGCCCGATAAGGCCTGGGGAGCGCAGGGAACCATGGGTCATTGGGTGATACACATATCTGTATACACAATACACATACACATACACCTTATAACACATACACATACACATACACCTTATAACGCATACACATACACATACACATACACATACATAAACAGTATGGGGGAGGGACTGGGGTTTTCAAAGAGAATATGTACCTGGACTAAGCCTGAGATCTCTCAGAGCAGTCCACCGTATCTAACATCGTTTGATACTGAAGCTTTGAGCCGTTGAATGACAACCGACGCAGGGGAACCATGCGTCTTTCGGTGATACACATAAACAGTACGGTGTGAGGGACGGGGGTTTTCATAGAGAATATGTACCTGGACTAAGCCGAAGATCTATTAGAGCAGTTCATCGTATATAACATCGTTTGAACCTGACGCTTTGTGATGCCGAATAGCAACCGACGCAGGGGAAAGATAGATCATTGGGTGATACAGATAAACAGTATGGGGGACGGGGGTTTTCATGAATAGAGAATATATACCTGGTCTAACTACTATAATGCTGGTTAGCATAGTCAATCCGTCACATCTTTCTAGTCATTGCCATTGTCATATTTACTTTGTCATTTTATACTTTTATGTTCGGATTGGGTCTCATCTACCACCTATCCACGTTTATCAGGTAAATGGAAGATCCCAGATTAACGTTTATAGCTGCAGGTAAATGTTGGAAGGATTTACATAAAGGTAGACTATGCGTAACTGGAACACATCACGGTCCTAAACATTACCGACCATATAAATGCTGCTAGACTAATGTAAAGGTAAAGGTAAATGTTGCTAGACTATACATAACTGGAACACATCACAGCCTTAAACACTACCGACCACAATATGCATCTACCTGATGAGCTATGATGAATCAAATGAAAATGTGCCGTATAATCACATTAGGGGCTGTGTGGCAGTGTCAGGGGACCTTCGCGGCAATCCCTACCAGCAATCAGCATGGTGCTATGCGCGGGTAATCTTCGTAACAGCCCGGGTAAAGCTGGGAGTACAGTATCAGCGTGCTATAGATACCTTTGGCTTGTGTTAGCTTAGAGGTTGATTCTAGGGATACATTTCTTTTTACACGTCACCAGTTTTTTAAGTGTTTATCTTCCTCGTCGAGGATTTAAATAGCAGATGCTAAACTACATCTGACAGAAAATGCTACAATTTGACAATCATACGAGGGTGTAGGTACCTACATACTATGAAATTTATCTGACGGATGTATATCTTTCTATATCATGATCATCATATACACAATTCAGTCTTTAATCCCTCGTCAAGTTCTTAAAATAAGAAGTATTCTGTATTACATTCTGAAGGCAAACACTGCCTGCTTTGTGCGTGTCAACTACCATTGATGCACAATTAGGCACACATGACGTAATGTGCTCAGCAATCCAAGTCACGTTCCACACACATAAATCTGAAATATATGTCACTTCTGACACTAATCTCTTTATATGTCAGCCACACCCAACCTTCAGAATGGTTTTACGGCTATCAAATGACGTGAATTCATCATCGAATGAATTAGACCTGAACGATTGCCCCCGCCAGAAACGTGATCAGGCTACGTGACGTTATCTGTGGGCAAATGTCAAATACAGCATTCATGAATATATCATGAACTATGCGTCAATCAGTAAGGCAGTACGATATTGTGTGGAAATTTATTGATTGTTATCGTGTATTAGTTCATGTCGTTTCTATATCGCCTAAGAGCCAGCCCTCCACCCTAATACGTAAGATCGCAGCTAGTTTGAGAGTAAGCATTTGAGGTTTAAAGTTAAATGTAGAAAATCTTAGAATAAGGTTGAAGTCACCATTGGATTTCCTTGCGCTTAGTATATTGAAGTAGTGTCTGCACGATATTAGACCGTTACTAGTGTAGTGACACCCGTATCTGAACACACACAAACACAGAAATTAACAACTAAACAGAAAAGAAACATAAAAACAAAATTGGACCTGGTTTGTGGTGATGGATTCATCCCGTTTTTAATTTTACCTGGATGAATTTTAAATTGGTCTCTTGTGAACCGCCGCAGTGATTAAGACAGCAGCCTGCGGTAGTGATTTACCCAAAATGGCGTCAGCGCAATTCTCGCTGACGCATTTACGATCCGCCACACCTGTGACCACACGTGACAAATCAGTCATGAGAGGTGCTACGTACAGAATTACCTACTTTTAAAAGTGGTGCAGACAGTCAATAAAACTGCGATTAATGTTTATGAGGCAGTAACCCTAAATTTTACAAGAAATCACTCAATTTTAATCTGCATATATCAAGCACGTAATTCCTGTAGGGAATACACGGCAACATTCAATCAGTGTCTGCATCTGCCCTGCATCAACATGTTTGGGGAAAATCTAGCATTTTGAAGATAGCTACTCTTTGGTGGTATATGTGCAACTGGTATAACAGACGTATCTGTATATGTAGCCGGTATAACCGCCCTTCAGCGGAACACACTAGCTTTAATCTATATCTGTATAGCCGGTACAACCGCCTTTCGGCGTAACACAACAGCTTCTGTATCTGTATAGCCGGTACAACCGCCTTTCGGCGTTACAAACCAGCTTCTGTATCTGTACTTGCATAGCCTGTATATCTGTCCTTCGGTTGAATGCACCTGCTAAACAGTTGTGTCCTCAAAGCTATTCGCTAACAGGCAATGGCGACACAGCGCCTATTTTCAGAATCTCCCAGGATACCTGTCGCCAGCTTGTCTGACATCCATACATTGATGCAAACAAAAGCTGTCAGTTACAGAAATAATGAGGCGGAAAAAGTAAAGGATGCCTTTATATTTCCCCTAACTGTCTTTCCTTATCTCGGCACACACGTATTATATAACAACACACATCTCACGTATGAAACATGGACAGTCTGTCTGGCAGAAAGCCAGCTCTAAATGGTGGCAGTTGCCTTGGTACATCGGGGACCTTTTGACATCCGGCACTCTTCTGTGCAGCTCGCACAATTGCGAGCTATGAATTATGTATTCCTTAGCTTGACTAGGCTTTACGGTTTTCAGGGCACAAGTATTTTTCAAATGAGAAGGCTATTTATCACGTGTGAATGCACACTGTATAGACTGGCTTGCCAGGTTTTTGGTTTTTGTACATCTTGAAATTTCCGAATTTTAAATCACAAACTGAGACTAAATGTGCAATTGTGACTGCGGAACGTCCTGTAATTTATCTAATTCCCACATAGAATACATCGTTATATTTCACTCCATGCTACAGGTACAAGAGGTAAACATATTGGTTTTCCTCCATTGTCTCGTCTTCCTTGTCATGTTAATCTAGAGATTGTCGAATTTTCGAATCACAAGCAAGGATGGAAAGATGCAATTAACTATGACTCCGAATCTTCCTGTAATTACATCTCTAACACAAGCTAGACAAGAACACTATTAGAGGAAGTGGGTTACTTGGAAAATTGCTGCACTCACTAATGGTACTAGAAAAGGGCGTACAATGGGGGCATGGACAATGGTGCCCATTATGTGGAAAATTGAAAACAATATAGGGAAAATGATTGTGCCAAAGAAAGTTTTTTTTTTTTGCCTTTTCAACCTTGGAGAATTCGTGGGATTGTGTAGATGTGCTTGTATATGCAGTATTAGTGTTAGCATTAAACCTTTAGTTCATATATTATGCTATAATTTAGAACATATACTTTACGTCATTCTTATTCCCCGGCTATGCGATGAGGATTGTTATTGGATTTGCTTTGATTTGCTTTGATTTGATTTGATTTGATTTGACAACAAATGGCTAATATGGTGATGTACGTGGTGAGTACAGCAATTCATGTACCGAAAACAGATCTCCTTATATCCCTGAGCTTGACACTTTACCTTTTTGTACTTCATGTCGGTTATTTATGTTCCAAGATTCGCGTCAGGCTCAATAACAGCATACACTGTGTGGATAAATGGTTTAATGCAATGTCAGTCAAACATCGCTTTTAAGACTTATATAACTCCGGTGAGTTACGTAACCTCAAGTTAGACACTTTGTCGACTGTTCAGATTCTTAACTTTGTTTCCGCTCAACAACAGCATGTACTGTGTGTCGATGAAAGATTTGATTCTGTGTACTTGGCTCACGACTTACACAACTCTCACATCGGCGAGTTACATAAATTCAATTTTCATACCACTTACTTAACGCACAGGTCTCCTCAGGGTAGCTATTAGTCTGCGAGTGAATGGCTCTTTAATATGCTCTTCAACTCACGGTGCTGACAATCTACTTTATCTGGGGCATCTAAGGACTTACATCTGACAAAGCATAGCTCATAAGAGACACTATATATTCAACTTACTGTATATAGGAAACAAAAAAGAGATGAGATAAAATAAATGGCCAAAATGAAAGGATTTATTTAATGTGAGTGCCCTGCGTAGTCTAGTGGTTAGCGACCCTTCCTCTGGACCAAGAGGTTGGGTGTTGTTGCTCACCCGACATGCACGCTACTGGAAAGGGTCGCACTCTTAAGAGGGGACGTTAAGCCGTGGTCCACTGTTCATTGTGCTTGTTGGAAAGAGCTAGGGGGATTTTCCCGCTACAATGAACTGTAAATACTGTACATAGCGTCTGTCTTCTCTGTCACAACCAGTGGGAGACTAGACTTCATTGAGCTAAAACTGGATCGAGATCAGTTTCCTTTTTAATGTTCGGATCGTTCAAATTTTACATCACCCACCCTTAGGTAAGAACCGACCTTATACGGTAATTTTGTTTCCTAATGATCAGCGCTGATCTGATTTGGACGGAATATGGAACACATACGTCAAACTGCCTGCTCATTACAAAAGAGCCCCATTAGTTTCCCTTGTCCCTGATTACAAGAGGTTATCAATGCATTAATTCTCAGTAGATTGATCATTACGAATGGAGAGACACTGAAGTACCGGATTTTTTCATACGTATTTCAGAGAACAAAAAGTATTCCTAGTCCCATTTGGGACAATCTGATGGTTGTGTCAGAGACAGGCAATTTAACTCGATACTGCTTTACTTCCTACACCATTTTTCAAATCGATGTACTTCTGCCAGGTTGATTTTACAGTAAGAATAAGTTGATTTGAATGAAATGGTAGTCTTGCTAGTTTTCGGTCATACGCTTTGTTATATGCAATCTACACACGTACAGGTAGGCGATTTTCCCGACTCCCTGCTGATGTTTAACACAAAAGTGGAACATACGAGGATCCGCCTATGTTTCATCAACTGACATGACCACCTCTCGATGCACTACCCAGCTCCCCAGGCACAGAACGGCCGCTTGTTATGTTATATAGAACGGCTTGCCAGGCCTAATCATGCATGTCTAAATCAAATGAAATCAAAGCTGATTGAATCAGCATGGCAGCCATGTACTGATACATTACCGAACTGAGTTGACTGATCAAAGTGTATCTGATTATTATTCCTGCCTTTTCTTTTATTTTTCCTGAGCCGGAATCTAAACTAACTGGCACTTTTATCGAGAAGGCGATTGTACTAATGTATAATACATACATTACACGTCTATATGTATATGTGTATGTAATGTGTGACCTGTGCTAAGCCCAATGGGCAAAACATATACGACGAAGGTCTTAAGTAGAGCGCATGCCTTCTATGCTGATTTGATACGTTTTGCTGGCAACCAACAGTCGAATTCATCACTCTGTAAAGTTTAACGTTAAACCACGCTTAGTTCTTCCACATTTCTATTCCGTATTCTATCGGCTTGTATTCTGGTTTCATCTCTTCTCTTCTTAGTCCCTTGACCCATAAAGCGGCGACGTGCATACTGCACTCTTCTCTCATCAAATATTCAGCATATCGAGTGAACAACTGCCATGTTTTCAACGGAGTCGATCAATAGCCCCGTTATTAAAGGCTGTAATAAGGCTGCATGGTCAAATGTACACGTAGCCTGGAAATTAACCCCCTTCACGGCCGGGTGACCGCCTGTTAGGTAATTATTACCGGCTATGCACCAGTTACTTTGGGGTCCGGTAGAGGAGAGAGGGTGGGGATTTTGTATATGTTTTTACTACGAAATGTTCTCATGATAACAAGCGTAGCATTCATAACTAATGTAGCAAAGCGGTCAGGGACATTCTGGGACTTCACAATACAACTGGAACTTGCCAATGGCGGCTTTTACTTTCGTATATGCAATGACGGCTTTTACTTCAAAATATGCATCTATTAATCTATGTCTCTATCTATTAATCTTTTTATCTATTATTCAGAATCACGACATCATGCGTGTTGTGTTCCTTATGAATTCTCAATCTAGAAATTGCACCTCTTACATCTCTGTACCGGTACTAAGTGTAATCTCACGCCACCCTACAGCGCTTTCCGTTGGCAAGTTTTTAATCTCCAGGCACATATTTTGGGGCAAGACAGTATCGTTTACAAGACAGTACCCAATACGTCACCCGAAGGCTAGCGAAAAAAGATAACAATACAAGGAAAGTCCAATAAAAACGCCTAAAAACAAGTAAAAAAAGCCGAAGCCTGAGCCTCTGCTTGGAGAATATGCAGGTTTTCCCATAGCCCAACCCTGATCTGTCTGATTACCGCACAAGCCTCGACAATTCTCTAAGTATTCACCGCCATAAACCAATTTCCGTTCGCGTCGTGCGCCCTGCATACCGGCATGGCTGACGGATGGCTGCCGGTGCGTGGAAGCGTGACTACCTTGTTTCTCTACCTTGCTCTGTCCTTGGTGCTGAATGACTGGTTATCGCTATCGATGAACCAACAAGTCAACAATACACGAAGCTAGTCCTGGCATTCTCATGAGAACAATGGAACAGTTTATACTGCGTATATTCGCTCAGGAAAGATGAGTTATTCCCAATTATTCATTCATACATGACCTGTAACGACTTTATTATTCTGTACCATTCTATGAATCAATCCTTGCCGACTTTTGAGTGAGTCGAGGGTATTACAGGAGAGAGTTGACTTTATCCAAGCCTCGGGGGAAGAAGTCTTCTGAAGTGCAAAGATTCAAGGGGCGTGATAAAGTCGGTTACGAAAATGATTGTCTTGATTCTGCTTTGTTAATATTCAAGGGAACCTGCGTTAATTTTCATGATGATGTTAAGGATTAAAAAATATATTTGATTTGCCGACGTCGAGAGGTCTTCAAGTGGTACTAATCTTGCCTCACATCCACGAGTTTTAGTAATGAAGGCACGCAGTCTGCATGCAGTATCGATCCAGTACATGTGACTAAGTCTCCCGCTTCCACGCCAGGCTTTGCACGGGTTGAGCGTTCCATAAATATGAGCCTGTGTTTTCGGCAGGTTCTCGCTAATGACGGCCTTATCAGATACGCGTTCCGCCGCGCACGGACCGACCCCGGCAGGGCGGAGGTTAGCACAAATCAAACCTGTTGACGACTGAATCGTGTGCTCCCAACACTTCAAAGGACAAAATGCGTGCAACTGAAACACGGAAACGTAAATATTACTGTGTAGCTGGCTATAATAAAAGGTGTGTTTATAGGAGCGGCAGACGGCAGGTATAACACAAAGGGTGGGGCGGCGCCGGGATCCGGCAATAACAAATCAGCGCACGGATGGCGAGAATAACACTTTTGGGGACAATTGTTCTCAGAATGGAGGGAGGTCTCTACCAGACCTTATTGGGTTGTTGTAGTAGAAATTGGACAAAATGGCTGTAGATAGTAGAAATTAGGCAAAAGGCTTCGTCATATAAGCCGGCCACAGGAGCTATATCGGATCGCGGAGGGTTTCAAAGTGTACACCTATGACCGGCTAACTTGTTTGGCATATTATCCAGTCTTTTTGCCCAATTTCTGCTATCTTTTAGTAACCCATTAGAGTCTGGTAGACCCTATGAGGTTGCGACGACATGGCTTGATTCATTCAATCCCCGGCGGACACAGTAGCGGCTGAAAAGCTTGTACATTACGGTAATGAACCGGTGTAACGGCGGGGACACGTCATCGCGGTTTAAAGCGGTAAATCAACGCGCGGCCACGCGTGCGACAACTGCCAATATCGGCACCCCCGCTGCTTTTTCAACCGTGCAGCGGCATAGGACATGCATGACGGTTTATCACATAACGACCCGTGCAAAACCATTCAAATATCATAATACTGTATCAACAGTTTCATACACGAGGGAGCGCCACAAGTTATTTATTGCCGTGCATGAATTATGAGGCAACACAAACACGGTGGCAGGTAAACAATACGCAGTCCCAAATTCATACGTGTATACATTAATACTAAGGCATTCTACGGATCTAGCAATGCAAACTTTGGCGTTTTAGCCGGTTACGTGCCAGGAAAACGGGACGGCTAAAATATTTTCACTGCATACACCTGGTTAAAAATTAGCACACGACTGAATACATGTATATTCTTACAGGTAGACGTCACAGCTAAACAGTTATATCCCAAATCATAGGAGTACAGCAAACAGAATTCTTATCAATATTCCTATATATATAAACTACACGTCATTCTAAGAAGATAAAAAGAAACTGTCCTACCTCATTGTTCTCGCCGTTCTCGACCCGGAAGCGGCCGGCTCCCTGTACGGCCCCGTCCGCCGTGCACGAGATGAGCTTGATGGGTACAAGGAACGACATTCTGGTCAGAACAACACCCAAATACTCTCCCTATCCCACTCAATCTCTGTGTGTTCTGACAATGAGCCCTCTTCCTTAAGGTCTACCTGGACCTCTAAACGCGCCCTGAATATGACCAGTCTGCACCAGCCTGTTGTTAGGGCGGTTCTGGACCTGGAGACCAGCGGACTGCTACTGTCAACCTGCCCTGTCTGTCAGATCAATACTCTCTAAAGAACCGCGCGGTACGCAGTGTTTATAAACGAAACGTCGGGCTATTTTTGCACTCTCCTTTGTGGGAAGCAATCAGCCAACCAACCGGGATGATGAATATAAAAGCCCGTCCGTTCAAACCATACTTGGTGCGCGTTTGTGTCTCGAGTGCGCTGATTGGTTCCCTGGGAGCCCATTAGACCGTCCGGTTGATCGATGTTCCTTCCCGGTTCCGTGGGCGGAACTATTTTGAGCTGCACGGCGGGGAGAAGTCTCTGTTTTTCTCACAGAAATGACTCGGCAGGCTGACTCCCCGCTGGGGGTTGGAAGCGTGACTGGGTACGATCACGTGAGCGTGTGAGAGACGAAGCAAAACAATCGAAGTGGCGGGGAAAATCAGTTTATGCATTCCTAGCCTTTTTCGTACACTTGTAGAGTGGCGGCGTTATTTTTTTCGGTGAGCGACGCGAGTTATGCCACGGAGGGACGGTTTTGCAGCGAAACTGTCTCTCCCGGCAAAACTCCCTTGGCGGTAAAACCGTCCCTCTGCCGCATAACTCGCGTCGCTCACAGAAAAAAAATAACGTTGCCACCCAACAAGTCTGCGAAGGAGGCTAATACATTCCCACTTCCCTGTGTAACAGTGAAACAGCGCTTCAGGCCAAACAAGGAACCGGTCGATATCCGTGGACTGTGTTCAGTACGTGGAAACCGCTTAGATAAATTGTGTAGGTTCTTCCTCATGAGTCATATCAAAGGTTAAGAACCTTCATAAGAAGTCTGCACTATAGGGCCTAATGCATTGAGTCAATCTCCCTTTGAACACGGACACGGTACACTGCAACTGTCTGTAAAGCTCCACGTCCATATCTGTTATAGGAGCCAAATATCAAGCATGCATGCAGTTTTTTTTTAAATCATAGTAATCTTTCAACACAAACTAACGGTAACCTGCTTGTATACCATATCTGTTATTGGACACCAATGTCAAGCATGCATGCATCTTTTTTTCAAAAGTGATCTTTCAACGTACACCAACGTAATATGCTTGTGAATAAAGGTTCCTGGAGACTTGGTTTTTTGTAACTTGTAGCAATGCGCTGACTCGTTCAATTAACGGAACTTCCTATATATTCCCACTTGAGTAGGAGGGACGGAAGCTGCGGTGTACATGTCTTTGAACTTCGCTTTGAGTAATCAGAGTTTCTAAGAATAGGTAACGTTACTTGCTTTCATCAAACATTTCCTCCGGAAGCCTTCACGAATTTGAGAGCTAATAGAACAACAGTTATAGAAGGGGCATACATCCGGAAGTGAGAGCTTTGACGGTTTTGAAGGTACAAATTGAATTTCCTCTATCGGTGCCACTCCTGTGGATTGTAACGTGGGCGCGATGTCCCAGCTGTAGGCACGGAGCACAAGGACTTGTCTGATCCGGATGTTGCAGCTAAATATATCTTTGAGATAAAACACGAGGGAGGCAGGGGTGGTCCTTTCAAATGGAACTCCCCTCATTAACAGTACACACACACACACGTGCAGGCCAAATTTGCTGACAAGGCTATATGTTACTGTAGACGTGTCACGTCTACAGACATGAAGTAACCTAATGGTATTTTTTACACCAAACATGAAGTACATGTAGAAAATGGTTGGATATACATGTAGGTTATATACATGTAGGTTTGATAACAAGGCAACCCGTTACTATAGATGTGTCACGTTTTAAAGATTATTTTAGACATGATGTAACCTAATGACATTTTTTTTTACACCAAACATGAACTACATGTAGTAACTGGTTGGATATACATGTAGGTTTGCTGAGAAGACAATCTGTTACTGTAGAAGTGTCACATTTTATTTTAAAGATTACTTTAGACATCTGTATCTATATAGCCGGTATAACCGCCTTTCGGCGTAACACACCAGCTTCGCAGGCACGCGGCACGGCGGCAGCTGGCTATATTACACCGATCGACTTGTTACACCTAACCCTTGAACTTCTAGCTCTAGACATGATGTAACTTGATGGCATTTTTACACCAAACATGAACCACATGTAGTAACTGGTTGGATATACCTGTAGGTATTGCAAATTTCGCATTTGGTAATCATCATAAACACTGCAGGCGTGGTGTTATGCATGTAGTTTGTTTGCTTGCAGTTGAAGAGCGAATTAAATATGTGTACTAAGCTTGGCATTGTCTCGTCCATTCCCACAAAAGGAAAATCTTTCTTAAGCCGCGGATGTTTGAAAGGATCTTGTCGACTTGTGAAAAGCCATTCAAACTGCCAACCACGCGTACATGTATGGCGCGGCCGTATAAGGTGTTGGGCCGCCGGGAAAAACCAACAGTTCCTCCCCCGCATTATGACACGACATGGCACGTTGCGAACGAAAAGCCCGCTGGAAGTGTCCACATAGTGCCACCTTTTCCCTTTAAGTGCTGTGTGACCGACAATTCTGTGTATTGTTATAGAATGAATCAAACTGACATAAATGAGAGATATACCTGGATATGGAGTCTGAATAACGGCATAAAGCTGAATTTCGTATGTAAGTAATTTCAGTAGAAGTACGCCTCTTTTCACGCCTTTAAAGACATCTACAAATGCGATTTCATCATCAGTGCGGCAAATTGAATAATTAAATGTGAATGACGAAATCTGTCTGATATCGACTTTTACCGCCATTTTCAGCAAGGTTTTGTGATTTCAGACTTGCAGCATTTGAAATATCCCCAAAACAAGCCAGATGAGGCGTCTACAACCAGCCAACGATACAAAACGAGCCAGTCAGTGACTTCGCATTCTTGCCTCACAGATATCAGTATGCTATGTGATAATATGATTGATTCAACTTACTACATTAAAAGAATGACAAGAAAATTGACTTTGAAAATCCAGTTCTGCCGCCCTGAAATTGCACTGGGTGTCTTTAACGCCCTTTACAATTACCGGAGCCAGGAAATTGACTTTAATATCAACCCACCTATGGCGACATCCATTGCCATGACAACGGAATCAACATAGACTTGAACACATCGTTTTGACACTGACAATCAAACGACCAAAGACAAAAACATCGGAAGCGTCAAAATAGTTTGTCATTGAGTCGCCGAGCCAACATAATTGGTGCATACGTTTTGTCGTCATGATCCGAATGTGGAGGTATATTTTCATGCCCTTTTTAGGTTGAAGACAGGGGGCGATATGAATGTTATTACTCGTGTGTCCGGGTTGATGGTATGTAATTCCCTTATGGTAGATTTCAAGGACGTGTAAGTAAATTACGCCGCTTGCACCTTTCATACCCCCCCCCCTCATCCTCCTTTGAAAAACAACAGCCACGGGTCAATCCATTCCACAGGTTGAAACGGGAGTATACGAGTGAGTGTTGTCAGAAAACGTGTCCACAACCCGTCACTTCTTTGTATCTCTTTATGCATCAATTTAATCTGAGTCGAACACCCTCTTTTCTTCTCGTGCTTTATATACAATATATACAACGTTTCTCCCTCCTTTGTACAATAGAACATCAATATGTATTTACATCAGTACATAGTACACGATTGATAAGAATGCATGTATCTACTTACCAGTTCCACAGAGCCATAGTGCTTTCTGCTAAAGGCCCCTCTTCTGGAGTCGGAGTTCTGACAACTGTAATGACAAAGAACAGAATGTTAGAGACACCTTTGTATAAAACAGCTTATCAATCTTCACACGTGTTAACTGCAGACACGTAGAAGGCTTTCTAGACACCACTTTGAATTCAGCACCAAGGACAGAGCAACACGGCTGTGTTTGATAAACGTTGAAGTCGACTGATTTAAAACTATGTGCGACATTGAGAGAGAAGGCTTTATGGATTATGATATTGGAAGGCGGTGCCCATCTCTCTCTCTTCTTGCCTTTCACCTCCCCAACCGAAGTCAGGTACCCATTTTACACGAGGATGGAGTGAGGAAATTAGTATAAAGTGCTTTCCTAAAGACACAACGTCCATCCAGGAATATCAAGGATCAAACCGTGATCTCTCAATCTCATGCCCACTGATGACCTAGCCAGCCGGGCATTCAATGCGACACAAAGAAAGCTGGATTTAACGGATAACGTCTTCTAAACATCGTACCTGACACTGAGCTGTCGCGTTACTTTATCGTTCGACATATCCTGAGCACGTTTTTGGCATTTGATGCAAGAAAAATGTACAATCTGCACATTGTAAACTGCAAACAACCACGTAGTAGGCTTTATAGATACCACTTTGAATTCAGCACCAAGGAGAGCTACACAAAGAAACCTGGATTTAACAGATAACATTCTTCTAAACATCTTACCCCAGACTGAGCTGTCGCGTGGTTGCCCTCGGCCTATACATGTTTTGTACAACAACATGCAATGCCTCGCCTTTTTATATGGCCCAGGATTTTTTTATTTCTAATTTATGTTTCTTTGCAATGGATGACATCATGACACCATTCAGGACATGAAGTATGAAAACAGGCCTGACCTTTGTGGAGTACCATATATGGAAGGTTAGGGATGTTTGGTAACAAACGGATCAGCGGGTTATTGTGACGGGAGAGAGGAAGGCCAATAGAGATGGAGGAACGTGCGATGATTGCTTCCACCTGTGTTATTTATATATATGTGTTATGTATGTGTTATATATGTGTTATGTGTTATATATGTGGTAGACCAATAGCGTATGTAAGATCTCTTTGCACCCAGACAAACTGATTGAATGGATGGATGGATAGATGGATGGATGGATGGATGGGTGGATGGGTGGATGGATGGATGGATGGATGGATGAATGGAAGGATGGATGGATGGGTGGATGGGTGGATGGATGGATAGATGAAATAACTTTGTTGCTTGACAATCGTATGGCACAATGTATAAGCCTAATTAGCTAAATGGGCAAACTAGAAGGATGATATATCCTACATTTTTTAAGTATAAAACATTATTGATATCACTCTAAGAGTTACAATATGTGGGTCAGTGTTCGTGTAGGTACGGGCTATTGGTAGGTTGGGCATCACGCAATCACCAGTATATCTTACAAAGCAACAACGTGTCATATAACACCCATTTGTCTTTCAAACACTTCATCCAATCTTTCGTAGTAAAGACTTTTCTAGGGGGCAAAAAAAATAACCAGTGAAATGCAGGGGGGGGGGAGACGACGTTAACGTATTCTGCATATATATGTATATTGTAAAAGTACAATAGAAAAAGCAGCCGTAAAATACATGTAATCATGTTTTCCTATGTAGGTCTCGTCCCCGTTTCTTTATGTAAGTTACAGTTGAATAACAGTCGGCACAGATTATGCACATACATAACATCTTCACCATCAAAACAGGAAGGCAAACTCCTTATCTCAGTTCTATTTTTATCGCAAGACGAATCCCGGGGCCCCAAATTAGGGAAAGCTACCGACGAGCGGAATCTGCATGGGTAATTGGGGGAGATAAGCCTGGGCGCGTCCCTTCTCTCTAATTAGAGGGTTTGCAAATACCACCCGTGACGTCACACGGCTTCTCGTGGAGAGCACGAGTCAACATGAGCAAGTACCAATAACTCACGGGGGACAGGGCACGGCAGGGCTGGGGTGGAGAACAAACACTGATGGTGGGTCGTGTGGCGTAGCGGCAGAGTGCGCGACTCCGAACCTAAAAGTCCCGGGTTCGAGTCCTGACATGCCACCGATCTTGTGCCCTTGGGAAAGGCACTTTACACGGCTTTCCTCACTTAGCTCAGGTGTAAATGAGTATTGTCCTCTCATGTATTTGCCCCCTGTGTTGGTGGCGGCATTAATATAAGTTGATAAAACTTGAGTGTGCCGTCACCACGTCTGGTGATTACATGTTGGAATAAAAAAAACACTGATTGTGGGTCATAAGCGGGATGATTGGCAAGTACTTCCTAGGAATCTTAGGGGGATATTGAACTTTTGCTGATATCTATATCTAATATCTACTGTCATTCGTTTGTGGGTCATAAGCTGGATAATTGACAAGGATTTGAACTGGCCTCCTTGAAAAATGGAGCCAGACATTTGCTGAGAATTGTAGCATATAAAGAAGGGTATCAAATGGTATCTCTGGCTGATATCTAATATCTACTGTCATTCGTTATGAGTGTAAAACGTGGGTTAGTTAAGGACGGCAAAGGTAATCTACGAGCATTTCTTCTAGCTGTAAGACTGTGTACGAGTATCAACCATCCTCCTTCGCAGGGCTAAAATCCTCCGGTTCCCTTCCGGTTTTAGCCCTGCTATTTACCGCTGACAGTTTGACTTCTGGTGACGTCACTTATAAATAATTCATGAGCTTGCCTTATTTGGCACAAACCAATCAGATGTCGGGGGGCTTGCCCTAACTCTGTCTCGGCTTTGGCCAGGGCTTTGGCCGCTGCTGGGAAGCCCATATAGCACAGGCTCTTCCCTCCTCCTGTCCGCACACTCAGAAAAACGTCTCTGCCATCAAGCAGCGCCCGTAGCATCGACTGCTGATGCTCACGAAGCCGCTCGACTCCAAATAAATCTTGCACGGCTCGCACGAAACTTCTAGTATCTGTGCCGCCATCTTGGCCTGTCCCAACATGGGAATGTAAGACGTAACCTGATTGGCTAATAGGTTCCCAGCGACCTTTGCGGTTTTTGCGCAAAGCTCGGTGCGCAAATTCTCTGATTGGCTGACAGCAGTTTGGCGGTGACGTCACCAGAAGTCAAACTGTCAGCGGTAAATAGCAGGGCTAAAACCGGAAGGGAACCGGAGGATTTTAGCCCTGCGAAGGAGGATGGTATCAACTTGACAGGGCTCCATCTATTCATCCATTTGATACACGTTTGGCTGGCCAAAAAAAGATGTCTGTCCAACAAAAGCCTGATAAAAACGCGTATGAGAGCGTCAAAAATATGCCAAAGCCTAATCTTATGCTAGGAGAATATGGCAAAGGCACGGAGGTCAAATAACAGGCTTTACATTGTTAAAACAACTCATGCTGTATACACATGTTGGATCATTTTAGCAGGTATAACACCTTCACACAATATCAGAAGAGCCCTTTCTGATACATTTGGGTTGCGCTGGGTTGAAAACAAAAACGCCATCACATCAGAAATCAAACGAAGATGGTGACCTGCTTTTTACACTTACTAGAGAAAAATCGATCATAGCTTCCATCAGATATATCTGACATGTCACCAGAGGTCACCATACGGGTCAGAGGTCAACAACATGGCGGCCGAGCACGCAGATTGCATCTAAAAAGTAATTTGATCGGGGTGAAGGCTCCCTAATTGTGCACACCGTTTGAAGTTAACAGATGTATATCGGACATGGCGTTGTTAATACAACTTGACTATAACTTGAGTGCAGCACCATGCAATGACTATGTTACTTTAGCTTGCTTAATAAAAAACTGTTTAACAATACCACACACACACATCAATTCCTTTAAGAAAAACCCGTTCAACTACATATTTCTTTAGTCACTGACGAAAGAGGTGGATGCTACTTGAAACGTTTTACAGTTTTCAGAGTCCATCCAGATGCTTGAGTATACTTTTCTTGTGTATCTCATTACCTAGATGTCTAACCATCATCGACATACAGTAGCTGTATGTGAAATGTTGAATTAAGGTCGATGGGACCTCATTCATATCAATAAATCAGCCTCCACAGTCGTGATTGTACTTAATCCCTGTACACGTAAACCCTTCCAGGAGATAGATCGTAAGAGAAAGGGCCAATTATCGAGCATACATCAAATGGACGAAGGATTAAAGTACTAAATGGACAAAAAGGTACAGGATCCAAAAGTAATTTCAGCAAATGTGCTGCTGGCAGTTCCATACTGAGAGTTCCATATTCGCCTGTCTGACGAAACAACCGTTTACTAAGGCTGGCCGTTGTCTTTCCACTTTCAAAGCTTGTTCTTCTTTTTAAACATTGTGTTCAGCTCTCTAGTATAGAACACAGTGAATGCCAACAAACATTTGCTTTACCAGATAGCCTTTAGACACCTTTAGTAAGCTGTTGACATTGACAGTGGGTTCCTAGTTTAAATTCCCTCGGGTAGGAATTTGCTATAAAGTTCATCACTTCATTTATTGGACTCTCCCAACCTGTTTTCACTGATTGCCAAGCCACTGCCTCTACCCGACGTGGTACCGACTTCTCATTAAACGTCCCAATCCCTCTGACCTAGTTCTTCACTGTTCAGATTCACTCAAGGGTTATCCAATCCGCCTTTGTATCGATCCATTCCTATACGGTACAGGTCTCTCCTTAGGACTACATACAGGAGAAGCTCTTGACACGGCCTTCGTCCAAAAGATCACTCTACTACTGTATAAAATAATGGACATAACTTCCGGACGTTTCAAGTAACACCCGTCAATCTTCTTAAGCGTCACTAAATGAAGAGCACAAACGACACTAATCACATGTGAAGAAACTTGACATTTAGTGACGCTGAAGAAGAATGGCGGATGTCACTCGAAACGTCCGTTATTCATCCAGTAGTAAAGTTTGATTTTTCTTTGAGTATTGTTTACCTGGATGTCTAACCTTCATCAACGTATCATGACTGGGTCATTGTAAATCTATGGAATCTACATCCAAGGACCACGCAAACCAGTT